TATGGTATGTCTTCGCCGTCCGGGGGCAGCTTTGTCTGCCTTCATAGATGGGACAACTCGAGCTACCAACCTCGAAATTATTTTTATAAGTTGGCTCAGAATTCCTGTCTCGACATGGGGAGGGACGACACTCAATTGTTTCGACCACCACGCGTTATTGCCACGACTGATTTAGCCATCTCTGGAATTTCACGGATCACTATGACGCCTTGCTGACGAGGAGCATGTTTCGGCAACTTCGGGGAAAATAAGGCATTTTCTTGAATCTCCATACACGCTCTAAAATGCGAGTAGCCTGCACCAAAAAGATAAAAGATAGATAAATAAAATAATAAATAATAACAGAACATAGGTAATTAGAAAAATACTGAAATATGAATAAAAAATACACAACATACCATCATTATAGTCCTTGAAAAAATAGATGGCTCGAGCCGCTGGATTCTCCACATCAATCCGCCCTCCTTCAAATATCCTCCTCACCTGGGCGGCTTGCTCTTCCCGTATGGAGTGTTCTCTGAATACTGATTGCTTGTAGAATCCCCCTAACTTGATATCCCTCCATTCGGCGGTGACGATCACGCCATCAGAAGAAAGTTCACCTAGAGCTGGAAGGAAATAAAAAAACTCACGTTCCCAACCTCGACGTGCACGGCCATACGGATTTGCGAGATCGAATGCAATGGATCTATGATGGATTGACCATCCTGTACTCTTTCTATGAAGGTAGAAACATGCATGATATAGCTCTAGTGAAGGAGGTACTCTGGCTCTGTGACAATCCAGACGAAAAGTAACAACAAGTGTCCAAAAACCCAGTGTCATCGTACTCACCTTCAAATGGAATCTCTGCATCACCTCGCATAACCATAAGGGAAATTGTAAAAGAAGCCCATAATCAAGGGACGCCCTGTACACACTATGACATCCTGTAAAGCGATTACCTGGGGTAGTACACCGCTTCGGGATCGCATACTCCCAGTGACGCGGCATATCAAAAGCAACAAATTTATATATACCCAAGCCTCGTCATGATTAAAACGTCCACCTGTACCTATCTCGGATAACTCTAATAAGCTTGATGCAGAAAGAAATATACCATGACATGGCCAAATTGAGAATGACGGTTTACGTCGCCGACTTGAGGCAGAAGATCCTTCCCTCTAAACTAATTTTTTACCATGTCCACAAACCAACTCTGAACCCAGAACTGAGCATAGAGTCATTGGTGAATTAGGTAATTCCTCGCATTCAAATACATGGGAATTTTGACTTGACATAATAACTCCAACCTTGTTGGTAATTCTAGATATGAAAAAGCAAATATATTTAACATATTAATATAAAAAATAGCAATAAAAGAGAAGGTAAAAATAAAGTGGCATTAGAGACGTTACCTAGCTTCAGTGATGAAGATAGCAACTACAAGGTTTTGGCTGAAGGAGACAATAGACCAAAAAGTTATAAATTTGGTGGAAGAGGGATTTAGATGGGGCAAGTGAGATGGCTTCCTAGCTTTACGTGAGGAATTAGAAGGGTGGGGTGGGGAATTCTATGCCTCTATATTTATAATACTTGGATTACAAACAGAGCATCCTTGTCACGCTATTAGTAAGGGGGCATTCTGATGGAACATTTTCCCTCTTCTTTCCCCATCTATCAACCAATGTCAAGCACTAAACTTCTCTCCCATTTCTCTTAATCCACTTGGAAGAATGTGCAAGGTGACAATTCATTCCCCCCCCCCTCCCCCTCCCCCCACCACAACTTTCATTTCATGGTGGGATGGTAACTCCCTAAATCACCACCTCATGTTCTAACCTTGACACATAGGTCCGCTTGGATTGGTGGAGAGTTTTACCACCCATCATTTATCCTACCTACACACATGAATGAAAAGGGGTCAAAATAAACCCCTTCATCCAGTGCTCCCCCGTAGGTTGATGGAAATAGATAAATTGGAAGTAAGAAATTGTCTTCACTCTCCTTTCATCCACGTGGTCTCCTATTGGTTGATTGAGAGGGTTACTTTTATCACTTTCTCGGCGAATTGCTATCTTCCAACCCCGAAATTTCTCTTTCTCTCTAGAGTCGGCTCAATATGCCGCTCCTGGTTATTTCGAAGTACTAACTTGAGCTTTGGAGAAGGTCCCAGCCGTCACAACTGGCAGGTCCTTTTTGGTAGATGTACATCTCGAGAGCTGGAATTCAAAGGAAATCAAAAGGTCAACGCTGTCCGGACTCTACAAAGTTTGAGGTCGGCTATTTTAGCTTGGCATCAACACCCCTCTTTCTTGGACGTGGGTGGCCTGTCTTCAAATGTGAGACGAGTGGTTGTTGCTCCCTCAACGCCCATGTCTTGTTCTAAAACACATGCCTTTGTGATGAAAGCTCTTGTTATGCCACTCTTAGCTCACGACCACATCCTTCTCACCTCGGCCTTGCCCGAGGTCTCGTGGTAGTGAGACATGATCTCATGGCATGAACCTAGCATTTCGAGATACTGCCATTTCATATGTATGTAGTGCCGACCATGGGCCTATGCTGGCAAGCCCACCAGCATAGGGACTCTAAATTATAAGCTCATTATTATATTGCTCTCTTTACTTTCATATGGGTCACGAGAAATACTGGGTCAAGGGTGAAAAAAAAAACTAACTGAATTGCTAGTCTCCCACATGGAATCACCTTCCACTATCACGTGAGTCAAGAATCTTGAGGCGGCGAAGGTGATAACATCTCTTGCTGCTAGGATCTCTGCCAGGTAAGGGGTGACTACTCCCTGGTGACGCAAACCCGTTGCCAGCACCTCATTCCCGTCTGAGCCATGGATAACAAGACTAGACGAGCACCCTGAGTCGCAAACGGTTGTATCGAAATAGATCTTCAAATAGTCGTCTAGTGGAGGCTCCCAAGCGGTAGGAGCAGACTTTTGGAGGAGCAATCTAGGGGGCGGATGGGGGGGGGAGGGGGAATTGGAGACTTCAAGGACCTGTTGTAGAATTGTTTTGCTAGGGAATGAACATGAAATTGGTAGAATTCAAAAACCACTTTATTTATAGACTTCCAGATTCTCCAAAGTAAACAGACACAGTAATAGAGAATGTGGAATGGGGAGATCTCAGAGATCATGATATGTCGCCACTATAGACTAAAATTTACAATCGGGGCGAAATCAATTAAGTTGCTCAATCTCACTAAGGTCCGCAACTTGGTGGCTAGGGGGCATTTGAAGAATAAGTGTTAAGCACGAGACATCGATTGAGGCAGTTAGCTATCCACGTGTTTGTAAGTACGAACTCAGCCATTTGACGTGGTAGGACGGGATCATTGAAGAATTTCTCGTTTTAGCCAGCAGATATGGAGCTGCATGTTTCGCTACTTTAGGAAAGCAATCGAATACATAGGCGATATCATTAGTGTATTGCAAACAAAAATTGTAGTCTAGACTCTAGCTAGAGGTTGTTCTTGCAACAAGATGTCTTGTTGCAAGAATATCACCTTACCATGGAATCGTAACTTCAGAAGCAAAGTATTTCAGCTCTTATGGTGCAAAGTTTGTTGGTGAGCAAATGCGTCCATTCATCTTCCAGCCTTAAACAAGCAAAAAGGGGTACAGTGATGGAGATGCGGCAGATGTGTAAGTTTGTAGTTGCAGTATGCTCGGAGTTAGGGGTGGAAATCAGTACGGTATCGGTATCCCAATACCAAATAACGAAATTCCGAATACCGAATTACACTCTAAAATCAATCACAATCCCAATCTCTAAATAATTTTGGTATCCCAATCCCTAAATATTTCGGTATCCCAATCGGTATTATCGAATACACAATTAATTACCTTTGCAATTAATAATTAAGTATATAAATTAGATTTTATTGTTTAATTTAGGGCAAAGAGACTAAGCAAAGAGTCTTGAGTTGCCTAGATCTAACATCTAAAGTTCTTGTAATTGGTCATCTTTAATTTGACTAATTTGAGGTTGAGAGATGACTAATATTAGTGTGAAATAGTGATGTAATGATCTATGTATAATTTAATGACACTCTTAGTGGTTGAGGGTCGCATAGTAGTGAATGAGAGAATCTAGTTGAGAGGATAAAATACACACTAGCTTATATTTCGGTATTGATCGGTATTTCGGTATATACCAATCTCAATCCCTAATACCGAATAAGAATTGAAAGTCAATCCCAATCTCAATCGCACGAAATAATACGTGAATTCGTTAATACCAAATATAGACAAATTCGGTACGGTATTCAATATCCCAAATGCCAGTACCAAACTTCCAGCTAGAGGTGCCAATTGGATCGGATTCGTGGATTCGTGGATTGGATTGGTGGATTCATGGATCAAATGGATTGGATCCAATGGATTGGTGGATTCATGGATTGGATCCAATGGATTGGTGGATTGATCCATGAATCCAAATGACATACAAAGTTTGGACCAAAATGTAAAATTTGAAAAGTTTTGGTACTAAAATGTCATAATGAAAATTTTTAGGTACCAAAATGTAATTTTCCAATGATATTTTTCGTATAAAAATATAAATTTTAGGTACCAAAATGTAAAATATAAAAAATATAGGTACCAAATCGTAATTTGCCATTTGGATCCATGGATTGATCCATGAATCCACCAATCCAATTGGATTTGGATCAAATGGATTGGATTTAAATGGATTGGATTAGGTGGATAATTTGGTGGATGGATTGGATTGGATTCATGGATTTGGATCCTAATTGCCACCTCTACTTCCAGCCCTACTCGGAGTATATAAACACTCGGAGTATTTAAACCGAGTGAGATAAGAGTTTGATTCAGGATTGGAAAAGGTTTTCGGTTTGACCGCAAACCGAACAGTATATCTTTATGGTTTTTTTCGGCCATGTCGGTTTGGCACTGGTTCACCGAACCGAAGCAAAACCTGTCGTTCAAAAATGAAAAACCCCAAAGGCCCAAAGTACTATTCGATCGGGTTTTTTCGGTGCTGAATCAGGGCAAAACTGAAGCTTCAGCATATATTTCTCTTCTTCAATTCAGAAGTCATTTCTTGGCGGCGTGCTTCTTATCACGAGTAAGGGAGGAGAGGCGTGCTCCTTCCCTCATCCTTCTTGCCTTTGTGCCATTCCCCTCCCGCCCAAAAAACAATGGCAGCCTGGAGTCGGACAAAGAAGCAAAAGATAGACTTAGAACTTTAACTAGAGAGGGAACTACAACGTTTTTCTCCTTCAAATTTCTCATCTTTTTTCGATCTTTCACTTCTTCAGAAGATGCATATTATTCAAAGTCCCAGGCTTTCGCTCTCAAATCACTATCCCTTGCCTCTCTGTTCATTTAAGTCTCCTCACACTTACATTCCCTCGTTCTCCCCGGCTGCAAAAGTCATCTCCATATCCGGGTTCTCCAATTCATTAAAAAGGGTGCCCAAATCACAATCTGCTCCGAGAAGAAATAGCAGTAGTGGGTTAATGGATTTGCAGTGTTGCAGGGCACTGGTTGGCGAAGAAACCAGAGATGATGCATTTTACATTAGGAGGTGTGTGGAGATTGCTAGGAAGGCAATTGGATGCACGACCCCGAATCCAATGGTGGGTTGTGTAATCGTCAAGGATGGCCAAATCGTTGGAGAAGGGTTCCACCCTAAAGCTGGCCAGCCGCACGCTGAGGTTTTCTTTCTTCCTCTATCTTTTTCTTTATGGTTCAATTTGAAATCTGTTCTGTGCGACTTTTGCTTGTAATTGCTTAGCCTTGAATCAGCTCTTTGCTTGTGAATCTGTCTAGGTATTTGCTCTTAGAGATGCTGGGGAATTGGCTGAGAATGCGACAGCTTATGTTAGTTTGGAGCCGTGTAATCACTATGGAAGAACTCCACCATGCACTGAAGCTCTTATCAATGCCAAAGTGAAGAAGGTGGTTGTTGGGATGGTGGATCCAAACCCAATTGTGGCTTCTAAAGGGTTGGATAAATTGAGAGGTGTAGGGATAGATGTTACAGTAGGTGTGGAACAGGAACTATGCAAGAGGCTCAACGAGGCTTACATCCATAAGATGCTCACAGGGAATCCTTTTCTCACAATTAGGTAACAAACTTGTATGCTGTTCTGGGTTCTTGTGATGTTCATATTATTGCAGATGATTACAGACTAACTCAGTTTGCGTTCTATTGACCTGCAGATACTCCATATCTCTAAATGGTAATATTTTGGACCGACTTGGAGAAGGAGCTGTAGAACGTGGGGGATACTACTCCCGGTTGTTACAGGAATATGATGGTGTAGTGCTTTCTGCTTCTTCAACCGCCAACGAGCTGTCCCTTCCTATTTCTCAAGAATCGGGTGCTAATCAACCCCTTTGGATAATCACTGCAACTTCCCCGTATCAAGTTCTTGTTCCTCCAGTGGCTGCTGGACAATCTGATTCTAGAGTGATTGTCTTTGCAGACAAAGAGTGCAGTGTAGAAAGTAGTCAGAGAGGGATCGAGACCGTGGTATTGGATCACATAAATCTGAATGCTATATTAGAGTACTGTAAGCAGCAGGGTCTGTGCAGTGTTCTGCTGGATTTGAGGGGAACTTTTTCTGGGCTGGAGAAGCTTGTCAAGGAAGCTATGGAGCACAAGATGTTGCAGAAGATTATAGTTGAAGTACTGCCAGTATGGGAGGGAGAAGTTGATGCAGGTTCTGTTGCTGCATTGAAGACCATGGGGAGACACATAGACCTGAAGAATGTACAGGCCAGTAGCTCAGATAGAAGCATTGTACTTGAGGGTTACTTTTAGTGCAAGTTGTCAAGTTCTGTGACAACAGATCCTTGTAACCCACCAAGGAAGTTATCAACCTTTTGTTCCTCTATTGACTTAAAATAAGTGAACAATCATGAGTAGTTCTAATCACAACTTCCGAATTGAATTCACTTGCTTGACTCTGAGGTGGAAGTTTCATTTGAATTTTGGCAAATGTGGGAATCCTTAGAGGGTTTCTTGCTATGAGATGCTGCAGTATCAGAAGGGAATAATTATTTGTAAAACCAGACTATTTCAGCTCTTCTGTTGCGAAATCTGAGAGGTGAGCAAATTTGCTGTTTTGTTTTCTAGCCTTATTAGGGGTCAGAAGATATCCAAGTGGTGGGGATGCTGCAGATGGGTTAGTCTGCAGCAGCACAACCATGAATTGAATTGTTAGTTTCTTGACGCGCTATGTAAGTACGTGCCTAGAGAAAGATGGTTAAATTGCCGAGCATTTATCAATACGAATAGATTGGTGTTAGCTAGTCTTCTGTCATGTTGTCGATGGTTTCGTCTTTGCATTACCTGCTTAACTACTGCGATTCACTCGCAGGAGCGCGAAAACTTGATTAGCATCAGCAAGCGTTCCCTTAACCTTGCTGCAGACTTTTCATGTTCTAAAGTTAGTCCCTAATCTTATTTCTGCGGGACAACTAATTGAGCAAGGTTGTTCTGTTCTGTTTGCACCATCTGGTTGTTCTGTTCGGGATTTGAAAACGGGAGGCAGATCGGAAAGAGGTGTAAAAGGGGGCGGATTTTTCATCTGGAGGAGCTTCGTGGATGTCCCAGTTCGTCGATCGTCAATAGTCATTCAAATAGGTCTGTCAGTAGTCCGTGTGTTAGCCTTTTTGCTTTGTCCAATAATGTGTGGGATCTTTGGCATGCTCGGTTGGGGCATCCCCACTCTGGTCGGCTTGGTTTGATGTTTAAACATTCATTGCTTGGCAAACATCATGTTAGTTTTTCGGGAAAACATTCTTGCATTGTTGTGTTGAGGCTAAAACTATCAGTTCTTCTTTACTGTCTAGTCATACTGTTATTTCTGAGTCGTTCCATATTATTCATACTGATCTCTGGGGTCCTTCTTCTACGATTTCTCGTCATGGATACCAGTACTTTGTCATGTTTATTGATCATGCCACTCGTTTTACCTAGGTCTATTTCCTTCGATTAAAATCTAACCTTCGCTCTGTGGCTACTGAATTTTTGAAGATGGTCCAAACCCAATTTTATCGACCAGTTAAAATTATCCGTTTCGATCCCGGTGGGGAGTTTAGCTCACATCCTTTGAATGAGGTTTATCGCTCTCTTAGCATTTTGACTAAAAAATCTTGTCCTGGAGAATCACAACAAAATGGTTTTGTCGAAAGGAAAAATCGTCATGTTTTTGGATCTCACTCGAGCTTTACTCTTACCCTTTCATGTTCCCAGTCGATTTTGGCCCGAAGCAGTTGCCACTACTGTCCGTCTCATAAATTATCAAGTCATCCCTGTTTTGAACCACAAGAGTCCTTTCTTTGCTCTTTATTCTCGTCACCCGGACTATTCCCGCCTTCAAGTTTCTGGTTGTCTGTGTTTCGTTCTGTTACCCAAACGTGAGAGTACTAAATTGTCTTTCAAAACTGCTCGGTGTGCCTTTGTTGGTTATAGTGATGTTCATAAAGGCTATTTGTGTTATTATCCAGAGTTACAGCTTATTCGCATAGCCAACATTGTAGTTTTTTTTTTGGGTAAATACAATTTAATATCCAAACTTTTCATTTTAAACAAATATAATAGCCAAACTTTTTCGAAAACAATCTAATATCCAAATCGTCAACTTTCCGTCCGTTTGACCGTTAGTTGACACTTCAAAAAAGCTTTATTTAGGGGAAATTGTCACAATTCAACTTTGTTTTCTTGTTTTGGCATTGCAGATGACTGAATATTTAGATATTCTATACCATCATGGTGGAGTCATGGACTTCTCGAGTTTGGAACCACGATATGTTGATGGTTTTCAGAGAAGATATCGATGGATATTGATGAAGTGTCGTACTTCAAACTTTTTTGAAGTGTCAACTAACGGTCAAACGGACGGAAAGTTGACGATTTGGATATTAGATTGTTTTCGAAAAGGTTTGGCTATTATATTGTTTAAAATGAAAGGTTTGGATATTAAATTGTATTAACCTTTTTTTTTGAACATCGTCCTTTCTTTTCTGTTAGCCCCACGTCACCTTCCTTTCCCTCGCCCAATCTTGCTCCACCTGTGCTTGATGATGATCCCCTTGAAGACCCTACTCCTCGCCCGCTGATTTGCCTCCCACCCCTCCGCATTCGCTATCTCCTTCATCGGCTGCATCTGACTTCAATAGCCCGGACTCCTCCACTTCCATGTCGTTTGCGTCCTCCTCATCCAGCTCTTCGGTTGGGAGTCCCGCTTCAGTATCTCCCCCACCACCTCGACGGTCTGCTCGGAACACCCAAGGCATTCCTCCGTCCCAATTTCAGGATTATGTTGCCCATGGTGTAGATGCACTTGTTGTTCCGACCGGTATAAGCAAGCTCGGGGTGATCATCGATGGGAGCAAGCCATGCGTCATGAACTTGACGCTCTCCATGCAAATAATACTTGGAGTCTCGTACCCTGACCACCCTCCTCTACCTCTGTTGTTGGTTGCAAATGGGTTTATGTAATCAAGATGAACCTTGATTGCACCGTTGATCGATATAAGGCCCATCTGGTTGCTTAGGAATATGTGATCGATTACATTGAGACCTTTGCCCTTGTAGCCAAGATGTCGATAGTTCGTACTCTACTTGTTGTTGCCTCGTCCAGGCACTGCCAATGCATCAGCTGGATGTGAAGAATGCATTTCCGCATAGAGACTTGGACAAGGTTATTTATATGGAGCGCCCTCTAGGCTACACCCTTGGCACTGTCGATCAGGTTATTTATATGGTCTCAAACAGGCACTTCGTGCCTGGTGAGAAGTTTCATACTACTATTACTGATCTTGGTTTTCAACAAAGCTACAATGATCCTTCCCTCTTTACTCGTACCACTGCGGCTAGAGTTGTGTGGCTCTATTATTATATGTTGATGACATGGTCATCACCGGTAGTGATCAGGATGGTATTCTTCGCCTTAAGGAGGGACTTTATGCGGCTTTGAATCTCAAGGATCTCGGGGAGCTTTCTTATTTCGGGTCTAGAGGTCACCCGTGACTCTCACGTCCTTTTACTCAGTCAATGGAAGTACATATATGATTTGTTTGGAGATCATCATTTTGACTACTGCACCCCAATTTGCACACCTATGGAGTCTAACTTGAAGTTAGGTCGTGACTCTGGTGAGCAGTTGCCGGATGGTACTGCCTATTGGAGTATTGTGGGCAGTCTGATCTATCTATCTGCTACTCGACCGGATATCTCTTATGTTGTTCAGATTTTCAATCAGTTTATGGGCTCCCCTCGTACTGATCATCTTGCTGCCGTTCATCAGATTCTTCGGTATCTACAGTGTACTCATGACTTTGGTATCTTCTTTCTCTCTACTTGCTCTCTTACACTTGGTGCCTATTCTGACTCTGATTTTGCTAGGTGTATTGATACTCGTCGATTTAATATTGGTTGGTGTGTGTACCTTGGTGGAGCATTCATTTCTTGGCGATGCAAGAAGCATGACAAGGTGTCCAAGTCTTCTACCGAGGCATAATACAGGTCTATGTTGGATGTCGCGTCTGAGCTTGTCTGGCTTCGTCGTGTTTTCGCTGATGTGGGGTACTTGCTCTCTTTCAATGGATCTTTTTGTTGATAACACCAGTGCTATTTGGATTGTCGCTAATCCGGTGCTTCATGATCGTACAAAGCATATTGAGATCCATGTCCACTACGTTTGTGATCTTGTCAGTGATGGGACTTTGACGCTTTATTATGTTAGCACAGAGGATCATATTGGTGATATATTCACCAAAGCCTTCTCTCGAGTCGACATTGGTATTTGTCTAGCAAATTGATGTTTCGTGACCCTCATCAATTTGGGGGAGGCTGTTAGTGGACCTAGTCTTTTGACTTGTATAGATCATTACGTCATTTGTATTAGTCCACTATTGTATAGCCCATTTGATATACTTGACTGTACAAAACGCAAAACGATAAAAATTACTAAAAATAACAAAAACACAAACAAAGGAAAAAAATGAAAATAAAGGCTACACTAACAACTCGATGGTTTTCTATTAGTTACCGAAGTTCCTCGGCAACGGCGCTTAAAATCTTGATCGATCATTTCATGCAGGTCATTGTTAGTAATTTGCACGTCTCAATAGCTACCCCATTCTAGACAAAGTTTAAACTAAAATGGCGCTGCCATATAGTGGCAATCAAGGTTGTATGCACTCGAGCCCCGACACCCTAGCCTACTTCCCACGTTGTTTTTATCTAGCTGATCGATTTACGGGGTTGTGTTGGAGGATTCAAGTAAAATAACTAGTAGAAAGAATAAACAAAGATAAAAGCAGGTACTTTGGGGAACTATCCCTCAGCCTAGCTTATGTCTATCATGCAGTGTCTAAATAAGTTGGGTTAAGCGAATGTGGTGAGTGAGCTCTTTTCCGTGGGCCTTCGCGATTATCCACACGCCTTCGAGTATTCCCTACCTACCCCATTATCACCTCGATATAAGCTCACATATCTGGGGCTTTAAGAACCTAGCTCTTTTCAATGGGTACTAATTAATCACCGTCCACACTGAGGTTTCATTCCGATTTCCATCTAGGAAGGCGTTCTTGTGGTAGGGGTACGGTCGCCTCGTCCACCACAAGACCCTATTCTATCATCTAAACCTAATTCGTTAGAGGGTGCATACGCGTCTAACTCTAAAACTCCATACCCATCATAGACGCTCAAGTGGGCTAGTAGAAGATTAGGGCGACTTACCCAAGCACAATTAAAGCAGATGAAGCATTAAAATCAATTAGACAACTATATTCATTCAAAATCCTAACATATTCATCCATTACATAATAGCCCTAAAACTAGGGTTTGGGGTTTAGAACCTCTAGTAACTTAAAAGACTACTCCATAAAGGTGGGAAGGAGATACATAGAAGAAATTGGGGAAGACTTGATGTTGAGGAAGATGGCTCCTCTCTTCTAGCTTCTCCTCCTTCTCCTCTTCTCCTTCCTTCAACTTCTCTCTCTTCTCTCTCTTCTCTCTCTCCAAACTAGAAATTTCTATCAAAAAATCAGCTCTCTTCAAATGGTGGAAAGGGTCCTCTATTTATAAACTTTAGGGGGCAGATAAGTTCGCGGTCGAGCAAGGGAAGATCGTGGGCGTGATTTTTTCCTCTGAGACCGCGAGCTTCAGACGTCGCCGTTTTGGTCTTCGGTTGCTGGGACTTCGCAGGCTGACTTCACGGTCACGATCCATGAGTTGCGCCGCCAAATTCCTCGCAGTCAGGAAAGACGGTCACCGTGATCAGACTGCAAAAACTTTATGTTCTCTTCTCGGTTGGTTCTTCACGAAGTTCGCGCCAAGGCCTCATGATTCGCGGCCGCGAATTTGGGTTCTCAGACCGTGATATTCACCTCTGCTTCGCGCTCTGCTTTCTCGGGCGTGATCATTAGCTTCCTGCCCATTTTGCTACACTTGTGCTCTTTTCGTACCTAATTCACATCTATCGTCTAAAGCACCCTAAAATCACGATATAATCAAATAGGGATGCAATTGATGATATTCTTCTGATTATGCACATGAATTAGAACGAAACAAACCTAGATATGAATGGCAAATAACACCAGTTTGGGTGTTATCAATCGTCATGGAGGAGGTCGAGTCAAAGGGATATCTTATCGTGGTGGAAGAGAACCCTCCAGAGGATTCAAGGAGTAGCAAAAATCGAGGCAAAGGAAGAGAACTTATCATGCTGGAGGAGAATCTGTAGGAAGATCTTATAGTGGTGGCAGATGATCGCGCTAACTAGTAACATGTGTTTTGTTTTTTAATTTTTTTATTATCATTTTATCCTTTTATCGTTATCCTATCATGACTCATTCGAATCTGTAGGCAAGTGTTGAGACTTGAGATCATGCCTAGAACCTAAGCATTTTAAGCAAAAATAGATAGTGTTTGGTAGAAAAACAATTTTATATCACTTGTTTACTAGGTTTCAATTTCAAATGATTAATTTATAATTTAGGCAACCTCCAACAAATATTAAAATATGCTACTATTTTCTAAAAACACAAGTTTATAGAATCACAACTTCAAACAAAGTTTGAAACATAAAGTTGCAAAAACAACAAGTTCATAGAAAAAACAAAACAAAACAAAACACTTAAATCTAGTTCATTTGTCATCAGCCAAATAGGTTCGTTCAACCACCACTTTATCTTCATCATCCTCAAAAATAATTTCTCACCATCATCCCCTTTTTCCTCCTCATTAGACTTAAATTCTTCCTCATGGAGCTCTCTCACTTTGCAATTGATGATGATGAAGAACAACACAAAGTTGTGACATGCTCGGCAATCGGCGGGAATGAAATGGAGGAGGTTGCTACAGTTCCCGAGTTGTGAGCCGAGTTCTAAGTGTTCAAGTTTAATCTATAATTATATTCTAATTTCCATATCAAAGAAGGGAGAATGTAAACGCGTTGAATAGATGGCTTGAAAGAATATATCATTTTTGACACTATTTTGCTGCATTTTAATCACGCTTCAACTCGATTAATCGTACCTAGCTACGTCTTGGTACCACGTTGGGGTTAATGAACACATAATTTTCTGCTTGGTACTTAGACGATGTGTTTTTTCGTTATTTAACATCTAGACACGCCTAAATGTATGCGAAATTAAGCATTTTTTAATCTAATAGTAATACACTTAAAATGTTTAAAATGAGCCTAATCCTTTTTAGAAATATACTAGTTTTTTACCCGGCCGGTTGGCCGGAAAGTTTCATTTTATCATTTATATAAATTAATTTATCTACATGTATAAAAAAAATTTATGCTCGCGCTGCATAAGTGAGTATGCTATATGTTCATATTAAAAATTCTCAATATTTAGCACACTCACCTATGATCTTCATAGGTTTCGATTCTCTAATAATAAATAATATTTAAAGGTTTATCCCGTCACATTTAGAATAGTATACAAAAATTTGTCAACCAAGCCATTCAAATTTCTAATCTTATAAAACATCTAAAATTTTGTGATTCTCGAGTTAGGACAAACTCTCAAAAAATTATTAAGAGTCCATATTATTGGATAAAGATACTTGATTACTCGATAAATTGTTTATCCCAAGTGAAACTTGACACACGTTTTTTTTTTACAAAAGAAACTTGACACACGCCGTACCCCTTATTATTATCAACTTATCTAATCTTGACACATGTTTATGTGAATGTTCATTAAGTCTCTGCAGAGGATCTTATGTCATAATTTGTCTATCAAGACACTCAAATTTAGTATCTTATACAATAAAGTAAATACAATATCTTAATCAAATCTTTCAAACTTTTAAAATTATCAATCATACTTTTCAAAATACAAAGTATTAGCCAAACGTTAACTCCCCATTAGCATTTTTGTTAGTAATATTGACTCAACAACATGATGATGAGTTGGAGGAGACACGTGACAATCAATATGCATAATTTTATTATTTTAATTAAGAGAAGATTTACAAAATTATTAAAGATAACAGAGAAATTATTAATATTTTGACGCGATACAAAATATTTAATACAAAATATTTGGTTAAAATTTTGAAAATTCTGAAAGGTATAGATTTTAATTTTATTTACTCAATATGTACCAATTGCTAATTCTTGAAATTTGTACTAACCCTCAGTCCATGGAGTCACATACTCACAACCATGCAACCAAATGACTTATTAGAATTGTCTTGATCTTATGCTTATAAAGATTCTTCATTTTTAACCTAATAGCTCGGTTTAGAGTTTTCTAACTATAAATGCTTGTAATGTAGAAGACATTCAACTATTAAATGAAAATTGTCAACCCATGTTTGATTAGTGGTTGATGAAACATAATGTTTATCGTACATCGTCAACAAAGATTTCTCTAACATTCACACGTGCCATATAATACTTGTACATCATTAAGTTTCTATCCAGAACTTTTACTATATAATACTTGTTTTATTTTATAGATATTTTAATTAGAAATAAGAGTAAGGATGACAATGAGTGGGGTTTGCCTAAACCATCCTCATTCTCATTCCCATTTCCAAATACCTAAACTCATACCCTCTCCATACCCATACGGTGGAAGGTTTTACAAACTCATCTCCATACCCGCGGTTTTCGGATACCCATGGGTAATACCCGCCCCATAAGCTACTCACCATAAAAAAAAATATGTAAAAAAATTTGGTACTACCTGCCCAAAAGTATGGAACTGATACATAAGTAGATAAATTACGATTTGGTTGCCATCAATTATATTTTAACACTTTGTTTTTCTTTTAATTACCCTTCCTTCTATTGACAAATTACAATAGACTCGTTATATTTTCTGCATATAACAAATGATCCTCGGCGGGCGGGTTTGGGTAAGGGTATGGGGCGGGGGATTTCAAAACCATATCTGCCCATATCCATAAAAAAAATTGTGTGTTTTACCCATACCCAATCAATGAGAAAATTCCCGCATTGACTGGGTCGGAGGCAGTTGTGCACCTGCGGCCATGGGTTTGGTTGCCATCTCTAAATAAGAGAGTGTTTAATAGCCAAAAATATAAAATAACATAGTTCGTTTATGAAAGTTGATTGATTTTCTAACAATTATTTTCTTTATTTTTATCATTATATTTTGTTTAATCGATGAAAATATTATTTATGTGTGTATTTGTTTAAAATTAGTAGAAAATTTACTTATAAAATTTAATAAATTTTTTTTGTTTAAACAAATGTGATATATCACTCTACAAACATTAGCCTTTTTCTACAAATATAGATATAATACAAAAAAAGAATTATTGAATAAAAGAAAACATCATTAAAAGAAGAGAGAGATAACTCCATAAATAATGCATTAACTAACTTTTTTGCTTGTAAAAAAATTGTCAACCTTGACAACTTGTAAATTCTCCAATTACTTATGTAGCAAGAAGTTGTTTTTAACCACCATGATATATAGTAAGATAAGATATGCAGGTCGAAACTGCGCTGGTGGTCTATGTTCGTGGGCTGGATGGACGAGCAGACGGCCTCAGATCCCAACACCATCCCTCTTCTACCACGTGTATATCTATCTATCTATCTTTTTCCGTAACTCCCATTTCATCTCTCAATTCCCATCCTCCAGATAAAGGGAAGAAAAACACTGACAAAATCTCTCTCTCTCTCAATTCTCTCAGTCCCCAAAGTGCCATACAACAACAACGTACGACTCCTGGAAAAAAAAAACGTACACTCAACAATTACCTTTTTAACTCCACTCCAGATTTAAACTCTCTCTGGTTAACTTTTTCGGTTCCTGAACATCCCTTTTTTGATTCAGTTTCTGGGCAAACATGGCGTTCCGCGTCATCACCATGAAATCTGGAGCCATGATGGCCACCGCTCGTTACCTCACCAGGAGAAACATGACTCATGGTGGAAGCTGTTGTGGGAATCACCATCACCATCATCCACCATTCGAGAGGAAGAAGCAACAGAGTTGTTCTCGGTCTTTGTCGGGATTCTGGAGATTCAACTCCACCAAAGCCTCTGCAGTTGATGTGTATTCCAGCGATGAAGACGTTACCAATACCAACCATCATCAGGTAACTCGGTAGATTTCATTTTATTTACCTTGTGTTCAGATTTCAGAAACTTCTGCCCCGGTGGGTTTCTGTAGCAAGATCCTCTGTTTCTTTTTTTTGTGCTACCCACGAGCTTCCTTCCAATGAATGATCCTATATTTCTGCGTTTTCCCGTTTATTTTTTTATTTTCTTTTTACTGCATGATTCCAGGAAACAAATCATCCAGCCTTTTCCTGCTTTGACTATGTGTTAGTTGATCCTTCGAAAGAGGAAGAAAGGGAAAGAAAATGTGCTAGTTGGGTTTATTATTACAGTGCAAGGGAGCTAAGTTTGGGAAAAAGACAAATCCCATCATTTGTCAATGCATATATTATTCTACTTGAATGTTAAGTTCCAACTAATTCTAGGCTACCATAGTTTATTAACCACATGACAATTTTTAAACTGCTTGAGTCCATGTATTAACAGCTTTTTTTGTGTGTGTTTGTGTTTGATGTTAGTACGAACTCTCATACCCTACATCTAGGTTAATTCCCATTTGTCCGCATCCAAATTCGTAACAGGATGAGATTTTTTTTTTTGAAAAACATGCAAAAATCATCGTTAATTATATCCCGAATTATGTATGGTTGATTTTAAATTCTAGAAAAAGTTGGTAATTAATCTCTCGAGTCTCCATATGTGAATTTGATCACCATATTACAAGTTACTTCCTCTACAGATGGTGAAGTAACTGAAATGATTTTCTACTTCCAGTTTGGTATCTTTTCTCTTCTTGTGCCTATCTGTGTCTAGTTTCCCCTTTTCCACCTTCCTTCTTTCCAAAGAATTGGGCAATAGTGGGGAAGGCAAAAGTCCTTCTAGTTTGGGATTCCTTTTTGGTGCATATCCTTATCCCTTTTCAAATAGATGTGCTATGGGTTTGTCATATTAGTGCTTTGTGTCATCCCAATCCAAAAAGAAGAATTGGAAGAAAGCAGAAGCAAATTTTAGGAATGACAAAGAGGAAAAAAGAAGAGATAAATATGAACCCAACCTCCCTCTCTTTTCCAATCCAGTATTCCACAATGGATTTGGGACACATCCTTTGTTTTCTTTTATTAATTATTTAAGGATTAATAGCATTTTATACCCTTCTATTATTGTAAATTAACAAACGTACCCCTCTACTAAATTTTTTCACAAACATACCCTCCCAATATTAAAACATAACGAGTATACCCTTCCGTTAACTCATCTGTTAATCGGCTGTTAAATAGATTGGCAAATGACCCAAATGCCCCTAACTTAATCTTAATTCATTATATAATTTTTGTTTATCACAACCCAATTTAACATTAAAACACACCGTACTGGTCCCCTCCACTCCCCCCATGATAGACTCCAATAGATCTCGGCGGCGGCTGTCACCCGACTCTTCCTCGCCACCGGCTGGAATGAGAAAGCAGCTATTAAGACGGCGAGAGAGGCGGATGATGCAGGAAGACAACTACCAGCTTTCTCCCGGTGAAGAGCGATGCCTACAGCTTCTTCTCCTTCCTTGGAGAAAGAATTGTCCCCACCCAACCACAAAACCCCTTGCTCCCTCCCCCCGATTCCTGCCCATCTTTCGTTTTGTCAGAAACTAATTCTTTTTATCCTCATTGATTGTGTTTTCCATGAATCTTTGATGGTGAAAAATGCCTTAACTCAATTGGACAATTCCAATTCACAAGGATTAGGTTTTAAAGTGGAAGTTGGATGCAATAGCCGAGAGGAGATTGGTGATTTGGGGGGTGGGGGATTCTTTGTCGACGGAGAGGGAGGGAGCTACGAACGTCGCCCTCTGCTCCAGTTGTTGCTGCGGTAATCGTCGCCGGCGAGGAAGAGTTCGGTGCAGCCGCCGCTTAGGGTGCGCCGATGGGGGGAGTTTCAACGGAGTTGGGGAATGAGGCAGACGAAAGGATGGAGAGTCGGCTTGGAGGCGACTGTTTAGGGCGTGTTTTAATTTTTTTTTTCCAGAAATTTGTGTTTTGATTTTAAATTGGGTTGTCATAAAAAAATTATATAATGAATTAAGATTAAGTTAGGGGCATTTGGGTCATTTGCCAACCCATTTAACAACCGATTAACAGATAAGTTAACGGAAGGGTATACTCGTTACGTTTTAATATTAGGAGGGTATGTTTGTGCAAAAATTTAGTAGAGGGGTACGTTTATTAATTTGCAATAGTAGAAGGGCATAAAATGCTATTAGCCCATTATTTAATAATTTCCAAGTCACATAAAATCTCCTCTTGAATTTTAGTACAGCTCCCCATGCTTACCATGTTGATGAATAATTGTTAATTCAGATTTTGTTTCATGTTCATATGGAATATATGAAATGAGATCTACACATGTGGGCTATCTTGAATTGATAACTCAAAAAATTAAATAATTTAGGCCATGTTCACTTCCATTTTCATTTCCTGGTTTCTGTTTTCATGTCATAAATTTGGCAATCAAAACGGGAAAACTTGTTTATTTTTCATTCCGTTTTCTATTTGTTTTCAACTATAAAAACAGAAAGTGGCAACTTCCTAATGTTTTCGGAAACGACAAAATGTTGGTTTCACCTGTTTTCAACATCTGTTTTCTAAAAAATAGGAAATAGAAATGAAAGTAAACAGGAACCTTGACTAATGAAATGGGTATCACTCAATTAACAACCTATTGATCACCAGTACCATGTCAAGTTGGTTTCACATCGTGGCTAACTGAGTTGTGGTTGCTTGTAACTCGGGAAATTGTGTTTTGATCATTTTGCATATTAGTGTTATACATAATTCATCCTCGTTTTCGGATTTTGAACTCGGATATCAAAACTTCTATCCATCGCTAACAATATATAAATGAGATCACTAAAACTGGCAAATACATGACTTTAGCATTATGTGAAACTGAACGTTAACACGCATTTTATACAGTATGTTGTTCCTCCCTCTTTATTCGTACTTGAGAGAATTCGAACAAATCGATCAGCTATGATGCTGATCAAAAAATCATTTAAAACAAGTCATCACGAAAATCCAATACCTGAAAAAATTCATGTAATGTCTTTGTGTTGTTTCATTTTTTTCAGGGACTGGATTTCCCCGGAGGACACGTGTCGTACACTCATTCACTAAACTTCATCTCCAAGTCATCAACCCAAAACAGAGTCCCCTGTTACAGAGTTCTCGACGACAACGGCGTCGTGATCCGCAGCAGCTCCGGCGACTTGGAATCCCAGCTCCAACAGCAACCACTAATCAGCCAGCAAACCGCACTAAAGATTTACAGAGAAATGGTGAGGCTTCAGGTGATGGACACCATCTTCTACGAAGCACAGAGGCAGGGGAGGCTCTCCTTCTACTTGACCTCCACCGGCGAGGAAGCCATCAGCGTCGCGTCGGCGGCGGCGCTCAGCTCCGACGACGTCGTCATGCCGCAGTACAGGGAGCCGGGTGTCCTGCTGTGGCGTGGCTTCTCGTTGAGGGAATTTGCCGACCAGTGCTTTGGGAACAAGGATGATTACGGGAAAGGGAGGCAGATGCCAATTCACTATGGTTCCAATAAGCTCAATTACTTCACTGTTTCTTCCCCTCTCGCGTAAGCTCAAAATATTATACTTTTTTTACCGTTTTGCTCTGCGCGTAATTATATATCCAGCTTTTTGATCGCCATTTTTGGGGTTTTCTTTCTCGTGTTTGTTTTTCACTTTCAGTACTCAGATCCCTCAGACTGCTGGTGTGGCGTATGCGCTTAAGATGGAGAAGAAAGATGCATGTGTCGTCACATTTTTCGGCGATGGTAGCTCCAGCGAGGTAAGAAACTCGAGGAATTCTACAATTTTATATAGCTTTGGTGGTATAGCTTTTTGCTTTTATGGTAGTATTCAAGCAACACGACCATGTTATGAAAAACAGAGCACGTAAGTGCTCGTTTGGATGAAAGATTTGAGGAGGCATGCATGACTCAGCTGCTTCTCTGTCTCAATTCCTATTTGCAGGGAGATTTTCATGCTGGATTGAACTTTGCGGCAGTCACAGAATCCCCAGTGGTATTCGTCTGCAGGAACAATGGCTGGGCCATCAGCACCAATGTATCAGAGCAGTTTCGAAGTGAGTAACCACTGTACTATCCTTCCCCATCTCTCTTCTGATCAGATCTTGAGCCCTTGTTATTGCTTCCACTCAGAGACCGCAGAGCTCTAACGTGGGTTATTGGCTTGGGTTTCACGTTTGCAGGCGATGGCATTGTGGTCAAAGGACAAGCATATGGAATTGACAGCATCAGGGTCGATGGGAATGATGCTCTTGCTGTCTACAATTCCATTCGTGCCGCTCGTCAAATGGCGGTCAACCAAGGAAAACCCGTATTAGTCGAGGTGAGTCACTCTGAATCGAATATGATTTGACGTGATAGGTATAACCATGTGTTCACGACAGGTTCTGATGTGTCAAATTTGTTGTGATTCTTTTGCCTTAGTTTCTAACGTATCGAGTAGGACATCACTCTACATCCGATGATTCGACTAAGTATCGCCCCATGGACGAGATCGAGCACTGGAAAGTGACTAGAAACCCAGTGAGTAGGTTCAGGAAGTGGGTTGAAGGCAATGGTTGGTGGAATGAAGATGAAGAATCGGAGCTCAGAAGTGCGACCAGAAAACAACTATTGCAAGCAATTCAAGCGGCGGAGAGAACTGAGAAGCCTTTCCTGGAAGAAATGTTCACCGACGTTTATGATGAAACGCCGTCGAATCTTCGTGAGCAACAGGAACAACTTCGAGAAATCATCAAAAGACACCCTAAAGATTACCCTTCTGATATTCCTGTCTAGAGCGTGTACATTTTATGCATTCTTTTGATTGATTTCGCTAGTATGGCATGTGGGTATTAGAGAGGCAAGAAAGAAAGTGGTGCATAAATGTACTGAAGTTGTAAATGGAGTTCATGATTTATAGTTTTGTATATAACCTAAGTAAGATCAATAAAATTCTCCTTCTAGATACTTTTTTGAGAAAAATGGCATAGTTGTTGATTCCTATTTTCCTCCCTTAATGGTGAGATATATTAAAAATTAAGAAAAAATCAATCAATATATTTAAAGTTCAAGTAACTGGAAAAATTTCTCACTGTTATGAAACTAATGTAATATAAACAACTACAAGAGAAGATTAGAGAGGGAAAGACACAAAGAAGATATGGGGAAGTGAGCTTTCTTATTCATTCTTCACTTTTGATACAATAATATGCTCTATTTATAGGCACACTTTGGTAACCACTACATCCTTATATCAATGCATATGAATGAGAGATAATAATGTAGGAATAGGGGTTACATGTAACTCCCAAGTGAGCATCTAATGTGGTAATGGCAATGGTCATCCATATATCAATATTTACATAATACTCCCCCTTGGATGACCACTAGATTGCATTACGCTATATCATACTGCCTCGTTAAAAACCTTACCAGGAAAACCCATTGGGAAAAACCATGGTTAAGGGAAAAAGAGTGCAGTGCGTATATGCTCCCCCTCATGACCACATCACTTCAGATTATTGAGTCATTGAACTCAAATTTCATGAACAACTTTTAGAAAGATTGTTGTCGGGAGTGAGTTAGTGAACAACCTTCGGGATTGTCAATTTGATGCATGATCTTTAGATTTTCTTCATACATGATCGTCAGGATCATTTCCTTTGGAAATAGTTCATAACCACAAGTCCTTTAGATATAGTAGATCACAAAGTGTAACGAAATACATTCAGGACTTGTCTTTTATAGTTTGTTTTGTTTCTATATGTAACAGTTATATCACCATATGTACGAGATAGCTCGTCTCCGATCAACCAATATGAGGATCAAATGGTATTATAGGATATGAATATAGAGTTCACCAAATATCTCTTTGATAATACCATAATAGAACAATCACACATATTGTTCCCGGAGGTAACTAAGTATTTTCCAACGTTCCAACGAGGGAAACATTGTATCTTGCTAATATTATCAATACCAAAATGATAGTTTATATGGTGCTTGGCTAGCAAGGTGCATTGGTGCTCTGATGCATCAACATATGGTACTTCAGGACCTAATGTTTTACTTCTTTCTTGATTTCATAATGGATCTTTGGTCACTTCTAGTGATCTTAGGATCCTAATGTTATTTGATGAACACAATTCGTTCATGCAAAATTACTTTCCCACTTTTTCAACATTACCTTCCTTGCCCATAAAAAGAATCTTAAATTCTTCAATTTAACTTATGTCTCTAAGCAATCAACATCTTTAGGAAGCTCTTCAGGAGCTCCAATAATACTCATATCATCAACATAATATGAGATCGTCACAAAAAAAAAAAAAACTTGACTAAAACAAATTGAAGCAAGCAATTCTTTCATATCATGAAAGATATTAACAAAACACACATCATAGAAACATATGAACTAGACAAAGCACACTCATAAAACACAACTCATACTTTAAAGTGAATCACAACTTATAAATCAAGAATTTAAAATCCTTGAAGCACATACAGACAACACAACTGTATATGCACAATGAAAATGCTCTAATGACTCTATCCGGATTTAACCTTTTAACGTCCATTCACCCTACTGTTGTAGGTGTTCACTTAGACGAGTATTTCACCTTCGTCTATATTGTCTCAACCCACACAAGGGGGTTTCTTAGTCTATCGATATATGTTCTCGAGAACTTTACTTGTTTACTTCAGGTAAATTAATCCTTCTAGGAGTAATTAATCCTTCTGGGAGTTTCAAATATATATAACATCTTCAGGGAATTCAAACAAATAGGCTATCACAACAATTTTCAAACATTGATTTGAAAAAGTAGTTGCATCCACCACAGGGGAGTATAACTCCTCTTAAACAATGATAGGTCTCTTCGAGAAACCCATTGCAAAACATTATGTGATATATCTCACAATTTCATACTTTCCAATAGCATAAAAATTTGTTTGTATCCCGCTATTTTTGCCCTTTTTTAGGTGCAAGGACTTCTGGTCCTTAAACTTTATGCTCCTTGAGCAAGTTTCATGATTTCTTTCTATATTGGCCAATAACATCATTTGCATGCATCAATAGATTTTTACTCTTGATCCTCACTTGAATATATCATATTCAGTACTGAAGTACTACAAACAAATTTCGTCGACAATGACTTCATTTCGGTTCCAGTATTGTAGTCTAATGTGTTTTTGAGATCTCTTCCCTTTCACAACTTTCAGAGACATGTGTTCTTCTGGAACTAAAATTATACTTAATTCTTGGTTACTCTTCTTGAGTTTTCATGTCCTCGAGTTGACCATTCTAATTACAACTCCTTTTCTTTCTCGAGGATATTTATCATTGGAACCGATTGGTCTATCACGCTTCATGCGCTCTTTCATACACATTTTTTTTATATTAGAGTATCCAACAAGGATATCAAATTTAGTTGGAGCATTCACAGCTAGTATATGTGACTTGGTCACTTCGTATGGCCAGTAAAGGCATTTGATAGTTGGTAATGATAATTCATCTTATGAACTTCAGGTTCATGTTTCTTACTTTGAGGATCAAAACTAGATAATGATAACTCATTCCAACTCATCTCTTTGCCTAGCTGTTTTTTTTCTCCCCCTTAATGTTGGAAAAGTGATTCATCAAAACAATAATTTCGCAAACAAATTTCCCATTAGGGATTCATACCCAACACAAATTCTCAATTTCCAACGAGAATCAACTTAAGATACTGTGGTGGAGCAATTGGGATGTATGCGGCACACCCTGATATTCTCATATGAGAAATGTTAGGTTTTTTACCAATATCATTTGCAATAGGGGGGAACTTATGATAACTTGTTGGTTAGATGTGAACCAATACTATCACTTGCCAGCTAGCATGTCCTCGACAAGATACCAGAAGGCTCAGTTTGTTCTCTTAAGAAAAGTGATGTTTGATTGGATAACCATCAAAATGTATCCACAGTGAGGCAATCAATCTCGCAAACATCGGGTTGCGATTAGATAAAATAAAAGTGAGCATCCATTTGATGCAGCAAGCCATAAAATTCACAAATGATCCACATGAGTGATGTATTGTTCTGCATACACGTTCATAAAATCTCAAGAGATTTGTCAACTCTTATACAAGCGATGATCAATTGTTCTATTCTCCTTGAGAACAAACATGCCATAATAACTCTTTTATTTGAAGAGTTCTTTGACTTCTCATATGATGTTCTCATGAATTCTCAAAGAACTTTTTTCACATCAAGATCCGGGATGGTCTAACCGGACCAACCAATTATCAAGTTATCAAATCTTGTAAACTTCTGGTTTACACTTTTATGTGTACTGATTGTACTAATATACATGTAGTACATATTTGTGATGCAAATATTAGTTTCACTATTTTCTTGATAAGATATTCATTTTACGAATATCCTTTTAATTGGGTAATGCATCATCACTAGGTAGTTTGGTTCCTTCGGGCCACAGAATTTGCTCCCTTTAAAGCTTTATCATATTTTGTACCATATTCCACCCTTCCGAGGACTTATGATTTTATGCATTCTTAGGAAACACAAATTCATAGTGAATATCATCACAAATTGTTATCACGAGTACATAATTTAGTTACTTCAAGTAACCAAACATAAGCTCTTCGGAAACTTTTTCTTATTTATGTACTCTACCATATAGTTTAGTACTCATACTTTATAAAAACACAATAAAAGTAATAAATGAGAATATTTCAAACTTAAGACAAAATTGATGAATTTATCAAGTTAATTATTCTAGATAAAGGTCATCAAATTAAATTATGCATGAAAAATAACGTCACAATAAAACATAAAAGAAATAAGACTCATAATACTACAATTGTGAAAATTAAATAAGATTTATTTGGAACAATACCATCACTAATTAGATGATTTTAAATTTATATATGCGTTTCATTATACATTATAATGTACCACAGGTACATTATGTTATCATGACTTTGATAATGCAATTGTGGTGTCATCCTTATTTATAATTATCCTTTTACTCCTCTTTTCTCACTTCTGGTGAAAAGATCCAAACAATACATTTAACATATAAATAATTATGTTTATAGCTCCATTCACTTCGGAGAATAGATTATTTCATTCACTTCTGGAAATTAAAATATCTCAAGTGATATCATTTTCATCTTTAATGCAGAATATACCAACTTATAATACAAAAAATATGTTCCATAATATTGATATTGTAGGAGCGTATATGAATTAGCTTTTCCCTTTGATTCTTGGTAGAATAAGGTCTTTTGCGTACAACGGGTACGAGACAAATGCAATTTTCCATTGCAATGGTAACATACAAAACCAATCTTCTTGTTACCATGTCCACTTCTTTCTTTGCCCTTGGATTCTTCAATTTCCACTTCTGGGGAATATATGGGCTCTTGGAACTTGCATTTTCCACATATCAATGTATGATGGATAAGAATAGGATAACACTGAGAACTGAGAAATTAACTCATCACTTATATTACTTTTCTTGTTAATCCAAATAGATCGACGTGATAAAATATCAATGGATACGAGAAGTAGCACCCATCTTGATATATTGGAATGAGATAATCTCAACACAAATAAGACAATAAGATAAGAAAGGATCTAAGAATTACATACCTTGATCATATTGTGATCTTACTCCAATATCTTAGATTATGTCAAGAGTCTTTGAGCAATGATAATTTTGGCAGAGCTTCGTGCTGATAACGTGTTATGAAACTAATGTAATATAAACAACTACAAGAGAAGATTAGAGAGGGAAAGACACAAAGAAGATATGGGGAAGTGAGCTTTCTTATTCATTCTTCACTTTTGATACAATAATATGCTCTATTTATAGGCACACTTTGGTAACCACTACATCCTTATATCAATGCATATGAATGAGAGATAATAATGTAGGAATAGGGGTTACATGTAACTCCCAAGTGAGCATCTAATGTGGTAATGGCAATGGTCATCCATATATCAATATTTACATAATACTCACTGTTCCTTGCGATTTTTTCTCCCACTTCATTATTCATTGGAGCAAGTATATCGTACAGCCGGTTTTATTATTGTTAATTAAAATATTTAACATGTCATCAATTCACTATATGAAAAGGTTGTGCAAGGTTAGTTGACTTTGGCATAATAGTTTAACCATATGTTACTTTCTAAATTTGATTTTATTCTTAGACCACACATTATCAAAAATTTATGTAACAACATTCTATAAAAATTGCATAAACAATGTTCTATAACAGTTACATAAATTATAAATTCATTCGTAAAGTTATAGACATTACATAAACTAAAATTTATGTAAGAAAGATATTAATGAGCATTCCTTAATGATTAAAACACTAAGTAAATATTATGAACATATAATCATTTTGTATGTATCAATTAAACAAAAATATTATATAAATCTTCCATAATGATTATACACTACATAATCCTTATGTGGGGATAATTATTCATTATGTATCACTTAAACAAATAGATAACTTATGTTATTCGTAATGTTTAATACACTACGTGAAACTTATGTAGGTATCTTATCTAAATAATTTTGTGAATTATTCATTTTCAACTAAATTATTAGTTTCTTAACGCGGCGGAACACGTGTCAAAAAACTAGTAGAATAATTAGCCTCCATATCGCTACATTAGCCACCCAAGATGACATACCATCATGGAAACTAGTAATTCAAAGCACACCGGGAACAGAAGCGGAGCCAGAATTCGACGTTGGGGGGGGCATGATTTTTTATTCTACTACTTGAAAAGGCGATAAAAATTAAAAATAAATATTTTTAATATTATTATGACTAACATTTTAGACGATTAGAATTATTCAAAATAAGATCTATGCTACAACTTATTTTGTGTGGACAAACTCACAAAAGTGAATATGTATATTCATAAGTTTTATTTTTGAGCCAAGGATGAAGAGGAGGATTTATTTTGTTACTCATTAATAAAAAAGATCATAACATCAATTTTAAGCCATATAAAACTTAATTTGACTATAAAAAAGTTAAGAAACCATATTGAAATTACAGAATTGAGAAGATGAAAACTTAATGAGCAAATGCACCGACTAGGTATCAAACCTATGATTTGATCAATATAATAACAGATTACCCAGTCAATAGGCTATTTAACTTTGGTCTTTTTTTTGGGTAGAAAGATTGACGCTAGTGCGTCTAATTCATTACTGTAATAAAACGGTCCTGGGAAATCCCCATTACATCATGAAAGAGCCAGTGTCTAAGACCGACTTCGTACACATCGAATGAATGTGTACCAAAAGAATAGCAGTGACCAACATTTGCAAGATAGTCAGCTGCACTATTCATTTCTCTATAAACATGGTTAATCTTCACCTCCCACTCGAGGCGCAAAAGTTTGTTGATAGTTGTTGCAAGAAGTCTGTGTCTGTGATCATCATCAACAGAATTCTTGATGATTGCAATGGCAGTTTCCGAGTCAAGGTTCAACTCCACCTTATTATGCCCCTCATCCCACGCAATCTTGAGACCTACTGTAGCCGCTTTCAGTTCAGCGCAAGTAATCGAACAGGAGCCCAAGTTGCACACAAATGTTTTACTGCATCTTCCAAGGTGATCACGAAGCAGGCCCCCTGCAGCAGCACTGCTCGTGGACGAGTAGAACGACCCGTCTGTTTGGAGCTGAATCCACCCTTCCCGTGGTGGTTTCCAGGACACATGTTTCTTACAGGTAGAGGGGCCGCCTGCAGTTGAAGTTTTCCTGACCAAAAGCTTGGCCTGATTCACAATATTGAACCACGCCTGGATTATGCAGGTAAGACTCTGCAGGTTGAAAGCCTTTCCTTCCATAGCATGCTCATTCCGCTGCTTCCAAATATTCCAGCACACAATTCCAAAATCGATACCACTTTGCTCATATGAGAGGTTCTTTATCATCCACTCTTTGAAGTCCATACCAGTTCTGTTGACCTTTAGCTTGTCTTTGAACTTAATCCATGTAAGTTTTGCAGATGGACATTGCTGTAGAATATGCTCGATCGACTCCTCCACATCTTTGCATTGGCTGCAGTTTTGGTTGTCTGTGAGTTTTCTTTTCGCTCTCTCCTTGTTAGTCATTAAGCGATCGCAGCCACAAAAAATGCTTTACTCTATTTGGTCCCTTCCATTTCCATAGTTTAGTCCAGCTTTGATCATCACCAGCCTCATCCAACCCTGCAGCAAACGCATAAGCCGATTTGAGTCTGAACCTCCCATCACGTTCCATTGCCCATATGGTTTTGTCCTCGCCAAGATGTGCATTCGGAACTTCCATGCCTGCAATCAGATTAAGAATGTCATCAGTGAGGAGTGATTTGAGTCGGTTCCAGTCCCACTCACCTTCTTCAGTAGCCCATGCTGCCACTGGTGAGTTCCTTTCAGTGGGTGTCAGGTCGCCAAGGAGGAAATCTTCAAGCTTGAGATCACAGTCAATCCATGGATGAGACCAAAAACTTGTAGAATCCCCATTCCTGATGCTCCAGCAACAGCCGCTTTTCATCAGAGGCATTGCTTTGACAATCGCCTTCCACAGGTTTGAATGATTACTCTTCTTCATAGAGGTAATGGCACCATCTTTATGCTTAAAATACTTCCCTTGTAGGACCTGCACCCAAAGCTCGGAATCATTGTTAAGCATCTGCCAAGCCAACTTGATCATGTATGCCATGTTCAAGTTTCTGGCAGATCTAAGGCCCAGACCACCTTGGCTCTTAGGCTTACAAATAGTGTTCCAAGAGACCAGGTGGGTCTTTCTTTTACCCTCCTGCCCTCCCCAAACGAACCTCCTAATCTTTTTGTCAATTTCATCACAGATAGAGAGAGGTAGGGGGAAGTTTGCATAGCAAAGTTAGGAATGGCATTCAGGACAGCCAAGGCTAGTGTAACTCTACCAGCAAGTGATAGCGTTTTGGCTTTCCATGCTGTAAGTTTGCCATCCAACTTTTCCAAAACAAACCTGTATGTATTCCTGGTCATTCTGCCATGGATCACTGGCATCCCTAGGTATCTCCCAAGGTCATAGGTTTCCTGAATACCAAGTCTAGAGCACACCTCAATCCTAGTAGCTTTGGTAGTATTCTTAGAGAAGAACACCCTGGATGTTTCCTTACTAATGAGTTCCCCAGAGGCCAAACAGAATCTTTCCATACACGACATAACCACATCTTGTTTACCATTAGCTTCAGCAAATAACACTAAGTCGTCAGCAAAAAAAAAGATGGGAAAGGGCTGGACCAGCTGCAGATAGCTTAATAGGTTTCCAGTTCCCATTCTTTACCTCACTGATGATGCAGTGGCTAAGTCTCTCAATGCAGAGTGTGAACAGGTAGGGAGACAGGGGCAGCCCTGTCTAAGTCCCCTTGTTGGCTTGAAACTCTCAGTCTCTTCACCATTCCAGAGGACCTGAAATCTGGTGGTGGTGACACATGCCATGACCAGCCGGATGCAGTCATCAGGAAGGTGAGCTTCCTTGAGGGTTTCTTCCAAAAAGTTCCAATCAATTCTATCGTAGGCTTTGGCTAGGTCCACCTTCAGGATCATGTTTCCTTTCCTACCTGATTTCTTTGACAAAGAGTGAACTGTTTCCTGCAAAATAATGATATTATCAGTGATGTGACGTTTAGGCACAAAGCTTGATTGGTTTGGATGGACAAGTTCAGGCATCAGGGACTTTAATCTGTTTGCAACCCTCTTGGCCACCACCTTGTATCCCACGTTGCAAAGGCTAATTGGTCTAAACTGATTCATTGACCAAGGCCCTTCAACTTTGGGGATCAAAGCCAAAAGAGTTTCATTTACCGACTGGATTCTGCTAGGATCCCTGAAACAAGATTGAACAAACAGTGAGAAGTCATTTCCAATATGGTTCCAACATTTCTGATAAAAGATAGCTTGATAGCCATCTTTCCCAGGGGCTTTGAGCCCATTCATGTCCATAACAATACTCTTGATGTCGTCTACACTGGGCATGGTACACAGGTTTCTCAGTCGAGAGGAATCAATCTGAGGGAAGTCAGCTGGCAGGGCAAGTGCCTCTGTTCTGTCTTCTCTTGTGTAAATGTTGACAAAGTGGTCACGTGCCATCAACAACAAAGCTTCTGGGTCACTCAACCATTGCCCATTGTCATCCTTGAGGCTGAGAATTCTGTTATGCTTCCTTCTGCTCAGGGTAGAATTGTGGAAATAATTGGTGTTGAGATCTCCATAAACCACCCAGTTAGCTCTAGATTTCTGGATCCAAAGAAGTTCCTCTTGCCAGAGTGTACTTTCCAGTTCCTTCCTTGTCTCCTGTTCTTTGGCAATTGAGCTCCTAGTGGAATTCCTTCCGTTGTGCAGCTCCAAAGACTTAAGACTGTTAACCAGTTCCCTTTTCCTTCTGAAGATGTTTCCAAAAACTTTATGATTCCACTCTTTGAGATCTTCAGTAAGACCCTGCAAAGCAGAATTGAAATCAAAATCCTTCTTCCAAGCAGAGAGCAGGAAAGGAAAGAAATCATCATGTGTTAACCAAGGTGCAAGAAATTGGAATCTCCTCACCGGTTTTTTACTTCCTGCATCCATGGAACTGCAGGTCAGAATAGGTCTGTGATCAGACTTGATCTTGGGAATGTGGATCACATGAGAGGACTGGAACTCATTATGCCACTCAATGTTGCAGAGGCTTCTGTCAAGTCTTTCCTTAATTTGGGATTTACTTGTGAACCACGTAAATCTAGGTCCTGTGAACCCCAAGTCGAGTAGTCCACAATCCTCGATACAATCCTTGAAAGCTCTTGTCTTGGCAATGTTGAAAACGGCACCACCTTGCTTCCCAGAAGGCTTCAAGATTGAATTGAAGTCTCCTGTTAAGAGCCAAGGCTTTGCAATTTGTTTCTCTATGCACCTGATTCCTTCCCACAACACCCCCCTTTCGTGTTCATTAGGGCTTGCATAGACGACGGTTATGAAGAACCTAATTGTGTTCCCCATCACACACTTCAAGTGAATAAACTGTCTATGCTTATCAACCAGCTCAAGGTTCAAATTCTTACTGTTCCACACAACCCAAATACCTCCACTAAACCCAACAGCATCAGACACCTCACAAGAGTCGTAGCCCATGGATTTGATGACATCTTTGGTATCATTCCCACTGATCCTAGGCTCTAGGATGCAAACTATATCAGGAGAATTAAGAGACTTATACAACGCAAAGGAAGACAGAAATTTGGGGTGTTTGGCACCCCTGCAGTTCCAGGAAAAGATTTTAACCATGGAGGAAGGCTTAAATCAGTTCCCAACAGCTCTGATTAAAAATCAGCATTTGTCGATGGCCATAGCCATCTCCTCACTCCCTTGATCACTTCCAAGAGTACCATTCTTGGATGAATCTGCAATATCTGGCATACAATTGGCACCTCCCAAGTCCTGATCAAACTCGATCTTTCTTGGTTGGCCCATCCCAATTTCCGGGGAGCTGGTTTTCTTCTTAGCTTTTTCCTTGCTATCATGATTACTTGTGCCTGTCTTCATCTTCGGCTGGTGGCCTGCTCTAGCACCTGAGGCCTGTCCTCTTTCATTACCACTCTTGGGAGAGCCAGAATGGTGTGCAGACACTCCACTCTTCGGGTTCCCACTTTTAGATAATTGAGTTTGCTTGTCCTCAGGAACCTGTTTGGAGACCAAACCAGTTTTTGGAGCAGCAGAAGGTTGTGTCTCAACATAGCAACTTGGTTGCTTGGATGAGACTGGTTCCTGTTTCTTCATGGGGGGTGTAGATGATGCAATTTTCTTCCCGGTTCCTTTCTTAGATTTTTCACTACCTTTGACTTCCTCTCCATTCTGAGTTTCCTTTCCTTTAGTCTCCTGTTGATTTCCTAGTTTGTGATTATCTTTCGTTTTTGTCCCTGCAGGTTTTTCAGTAGAGGCAACCTCCATTGTGGCAAGCATTTCCTCATCTTCATTATCAGCTCCTTCCACATCCTCCTCTCCAGTATCAACAGTTTCTTCCGCATTTTCAAGCACACTGAATCTGGACCCCTGCCCCCTGCCACTCCAACATTCTTCTCCCCTGTTTCACTCTTGTACTCTTTTGGTTTCCCTGTTGCCTTGGTTTCCTTTTCGCTCTTGTTGCGAGCATCCAAGGACCAAAATCCTCCACAATTTCCGGTCTGATTACCTGCTGTTGGCTTATATCTTGGCTAGTCTTCATTCTTTCCTCTAGAGAGGCACTATGAGCACTAGCAGCCGGACAAGCTTCTTCCAGATGTCCATAGCATCCGCATCCATAGCAGACAGTGTGTAGGCCTTCATATTCCACTCTCCTAACCCTCCTTTTGATTCTGTATTTGGAGACGAGTCTTTTCCTCAAATCGATTTCCACACATATTCTGGCATAATTCCCCCTAGAGACGTTTGCTGTGTTGTAGCCTATCTTCTCCACTCTTCCTATCCTATCTCCAATATCCTGCAGAATTTCATCATCGAAGTAGGCTAAGGGTAGTCTAGGAAGTCTTACCCATACAGATGCTTTGGTGATAGTATCAAAGTCCGGATCGAAATCCAGCCTCCATGGTTCCGCCGCAATATAATGATCATCAATGGTCCATGGCCCTCCATAGAGTGCACGATCATGGTCCAGTTGCGAGTCAAAAGTGGCCTGGAAAAATCCATTTCCAATATCCCCAATTCTGACTCCTCCTGTTCTTGCCCACATTTTCTGGATTCGGCGGTGAACAAAGGCAAAGGGGAAAGATTTCCTAAGAATTCGGAAAGTGATAGCCCGCCTCCATCGATTTCTAATTCGAGCATCAGTGCTCTTTTTTATTCGGATGGTGGGACAATCCGGATCATCTTCTGTATTCTCATCTTCCGATTCGTCCGACATCAGTTCATCACCTTCGGGAATATCAATCGGCGGCCCATTCCCTAGAAAGGAATCCTTGTAGGACATCTTGTTCTCGGCATTTTCGGCATTCTCCGGCGCGCTTCCCATGGCTTGGCCTCCATCGTTCTTCTCCTCCCGGGCTTCTTGCACGGCTTCATCGACATTCTGGTAATGAGCAGTAGCTACTGTGAAAACCATCTCCCCTTCACCTGTGAAACATTCGCCAGTGCTGGCCTTGGCCTTCTTACTCGGTTGCGGCGGTGCTCCGTCCGGCGGTTTCAGGCAGTAGTCTGCCCCCGCCTGCGGCGGTGGAGACCCAACGGTCATTTTCCCCAACGCAGAGACAGCAACGTTCAAAAGCGAAGAGAGAGGAGAGAGCGTTTCTCTCTCTTCGTTTCTCTCTCAATTAACTTTGGTCTTTCATTCATACACACTGAACCATTTCATACAACTCCATCAGTTTATCAGAAATTTCCAAATATCGGTATAGCTAATACGTAACTTCTAAAATTCTCGGAGGGCCGGGGCCCGCTATCCTATGGGTAGCTCCGCCCCTGACTGGGAAGGTTATTGCATATGACCCTTATCTAACAAAAAAAAGGGTTATTGCATATGACAATGAACATGGAACGGAAGTTGAAGTCTTCAAATTTAAAAATATGCACAATTCATTTGTTATTAATGCTTCCTCACTTTCCTCGCATATTTTGTTAAAAAGCATAACCAACATATATATACATATTTAAACAAGTTGTATTCCGATTGAACCATGCTATGCAATGATTGAAACCAGTTAGAAAACCTTAACAAGTAACAACCCTTGGTTATTTTTCACTTTCGGTTTTGTACACAACCGCGAGAAAGAAAAAATGAACTGCTTGGAAGCTCGGCCGACTATTACACTAGTCTGATGTCAAAACTAGGGCCGGAAGTTTGGTACCGGTATTTGGGATATACCAATGCTGTACTGAATTTATTACTAGTTGGTATTAATGAATACCAACTTATTTTTTAGGGATTGGGATTGGGATTCATTTTGGAGTGCTATTCGGTATTCGGGATTACGGGATTGGGATCGGTGTATACCGAAATACCGATAAATACTGAAATTTAAAAATTAATGAAATATAACACACAACCTTTTGTCATTCCTCACTCTTTCACAACTTAGAAACCCTCATCCAACTCAATTTTGATTTTCCAGTTTAAGTAGCTCTCGTTTCTCACCTAATCTCTTGTTATTTTCATAACACCAAAAAGCAAACACTAGTATTAGTCGTCTCTCAGCCTCCAATTCGTCAAATTAAAGATTACCAATGACAAAATTTTGAGATGTCACCTCTTATCCATTCTCATTATCCATATCCTAGCTCTAGGCAAACTCATGACTCTTTGCTTAGTCTCATTGCCCTAAATTAAACAATCAAATCTAATATAATTTAATTATTAGTTGCAAAGGTAATTAATTTCATATTCGATAATACCTATTGGATACCGAAGTACCGATTGGGATACCGAAATATTTAGAGATTGAGATTGGGATACTAAAATTATTTAGGGATTAGGATTGTAATTGACTTTCGATATAATTCTGTATTCAGAATTTTGGTATGGATGATCTCCACCCCTAGTCAAAAGTCAAAACCATAAACCTTTCTCACTAGGAAAAAGACCGTAAACCTCAGCTCTCCTCTTCTTCCTAAACCCCTAAAACAGCTTCTCGATTCCCTCTAGCCTGAGCTGCACCAAAAATGGTTTGTATTCTCAATATTTCTCCTCTTTTCCCTCTTTCTACCTTTCTTCGTCCTCTGCTCGTGTTAAACTGAAGCTTTATGTTGTGTGGGCGAGAGATGACAGAGAGCCTGCTTTTCCTTTGTCGTCAACTCGTCATTGCCTTCGCTGTACATTCGGTGATATTGTTTGATTTAAGCTCCATTTTGGGTTGTTTAGTTCTTCCCACTTGTGCAATTGCTGCAACGTTATCCGATTCCAAGTTTCCAACTTAACTGTGCCCATACTTCATTGGTACTTTGCCGGTGTTTCCTCTTGGCGCCTGAGGGTTACCTGTTTCACTCTTCTATTAATCTCTTACATTCTTTGAAGTTAACTTCTTAACATTAGCCTCTCTATCCTTGCGTAGGTGCTGGAGGGTTATTTGCGGCTGCGTTTAACTGTGATTCGGGGAATGAAGGTGCTTGCCTTCCCACTGAAGAGTTGTGCGAATGAGGTTAGGGCTGATGCCGCATTTGGGTGTCAAATGATCAATTATGCTGGTTACTTCAGATGACCAAGCATAGTAATCCAGTCTTTGTATGTACCCTTTGGTGAAGCACAAGCATAAGATCCTCAACACTTCACTTGCCTACTGTTGTCGTCTTATCGACCAGTGTTTCTCGTTGAAATCCTCGAAGAATGTCACGGTTCTTCATGCTCTGTTAGTTAAAGTTGGCTTCAATCGTTATACTTTTCTGGGTAATCGTTGTCTGGATCTCTATTGTCGATCCGGTTCATCTGCGGTTGATGTTCTGAAAGTGTTTGATGACATAGCTTTAAGAAATGTGGTATCTTGGAACATTTGTTTGAAGGGGTTATTGAATTTTGGGCATATGGAAATGGCGTGCAGCCTCTTTGATGAAATGCCTGAAAGAGACGTCGTTAGTTGGAACTCAATGATTGTGGGGCATGCTTCATGTGGCCATGTTGATCGGGCATTAGAAAGGTTTAGGCGGATGCAAATTTCGGGTGTGCAACCCAGTGAATACACTTACTCAATTTTGATGTCAGTGGTGTTTGCCACACTTTGTGGTAGAGAACTTCATGGGAGCTTGATTCGTCGTGGATTTAGCACTTCAAATGTGGTTCTTGGAAATTCCTTGATTGACATGTATGGGAAGCTTGGCCTACTAGATTATTCTGTAGGTGTGTTCTTAGGAATGAAAGATAAAGATATCATATCTTGGAACTCATTGATCATATGTTTTTGTAAATGTGGACACGGTGAATTAGCTCTACATTGGTTTTGGTTGATGAGATCCTTGGGGCATTCGGTTGATGCATTCACATTTTCTGCAATCATAAATTGCTGCTCTGATTTACGAAAATTAAATAAGGGTGAGCAGAGTTTAGCACTTTGCATGAAATTGGGATTTCTTTGTAATTCCCTTGTTTCAAGTGCATCTATTGACTTGTTTTCCAAATGCAACAGATTTGGGGATTCTGTTAAGCTTTTTCAAGAATTAGAGCACTGGGATTCTGCAGTCTGCAACTCTATGATTTCATGTTATGCACGGCACCATTTTGCAGAGGCTGCTCTTCTACTATTTGTGCTTACATTGAGGGAGGACATAAGGCCTACAGAATACACATTTTCCAGCCTGTTAAGTGTTATTCACAGTTTTCCAGTGGAGCAGGGAACTCAAATCCACTGCTTAGTCATCAGATTGGGTTTTGACTCTGATGCTATTGTTGCTAGCTCGCTGGTGGATATGTACTCTAAATTTGGGTTTGTTAACTGTGCTGTGGAAATATTTAGTCGCATGACTGCCAAAGATTTGACATGTTGGAATACGCTTATTTTGGGATTAACTCACAACAACATGGTATATGAAGCCTTGGACACTTTCAAAGAACTGCTCCAGAGTGGCCCACCTCCAGATAGAATCACTTTCTGTGCAGTTCTCTTAGCTTGCACTTATGGTGGATTTGTTGATGTTGGACTAACTCTATTTTCGTCGATGATTGATGATTATGGAATTCCACCAAGCAATGAACATTTTGCTTGCTTAGTCAATTTGTTGTTTAAAGCTGGTAGGTTCGACGAGGCAGTGGAACTCATAAAAGAGATTCCTTATGAACCAGATTGTTTAGTTTGGGAGTCATTACTTGATGCCTGTGCAATTGGAGACCTGAATCTCATAGAGGGAATGGTGGAGAGGTTGATGGAAGTTATGCCTGAGCCCTCTATGGCCTATCAGCTGTTAACTAGAATATATGAAATGCAGGGAAAATGGGAATCGTTGGTCCGGCTCAAAAATACGATGAGAAGTTTGGTGAAGCCGGTGGTGGGATTTAGTTGGATTGGTATGAAAAACCAGATTTATGTTTTTGATGCTAAGCAGTTAGGACAACCTGGCGGTAAAGTTGTTTATTGTACTATGAGGTTACTGACTTGGGAGATGGAGGATGAAGCTGTCACGTCAAGGAGCACTATGATTGATTCTATATGACCTTGTGAAACTGGCTTTCAGTCATGAGCATTGAAGTGCTGTATTGTTTGTTCATTTTCAGCTAGTTGCACCCCTGTCACCATGTTAGAATCCACGTCCTATGCACAGGTTAGTGCACTGTTCAAATCAAGTGGTAATTTCTGCTCTGTTTATGCTTTGGTGGTATATGCTGGCAATCAACATTCTGAAGAATCAGAATGGAGTTTTGCTGGCATGTGCTGCCGATTTGTGAAATCCTTATTGTTATTCATCTTAACTATTTTCGGCATATAACTCAGGCTTGGCGAGTCTGCAAAATCAGTTAACTGTATCTCAACTTTGATAGTCATTCATAAAAAATACACGCTTTCAAAACTAACTGCTTCTGGTATACATTGTTATGAGTGGTTGAGTGTGACTAAGTGGGAGTGGATAATCTTTATCATATTAGACTTGTGTTCTTCAAGATCGTATTTTGTTATGATGAGGTAAGCGTTTGACCAGAAATTATATAACTGACTCTCTAAGGAATGACCACTAACTTAACTCAATTCTGTTTGGGAAATGATGTAATCATCTGTGTCCTTTTTTTTCAGTCTTCAAGATACCCTCGTTGGTCATTTTCCGGCCTTCTATTTCTCAATCTTTTCCGTCCATAAGATGTTTACCATATTTAATCCAATATATTTCTCAATCTTTTCCGTCCGTAAGATGTTCCCCATATTTACTCCTTTATGTTCTCTGAAATTTCTACGATCTTTCAGGGTGACAAATGCATAAGCTGAATAATCTTTTAGATTTTCTAATATTAATTGATATTATTCGACAGAAGAAATGGAAGGGGCTGGTTCATTCTGGGATTCATTTTTCATCCCTTGAGACATAGGAATGCGAATAAAGATTTAACAATAATTTTGGAACCGATAAGAGAAAACAATGCTGTTACACTATTTCCAGCTAATTTCTTTCACTTATAGAGCTTCCTTAGTGTATAACTCATATTTATGTACTTGGTAGTATAGTTTGGCTCTAATAAGTTGTTGCCTATCTGAACAGGAAATCTTTGATGGGATTTCAGGGTTCAGTAACTGATTACTTCCAAACTGTCTTACTTCAAGATAATTTAGTCACTGAAATTGAGAGAGATCATATCATCCAAAGTCTCAGATAATATATTACCAACCAGAAAATCATTTTATTCGAGGTCCAGACATGTTTCAGGTCAGGAAGCTTCTCACGTTGGTCTATCTTTTACTCTTTTTCACACTTGCCTATAACTTTTTTAATTCATGCCTGGCCTTCATCTACCTAATGAGTAGTGTGGTCAACTTGCGTGTTGCAGCGAAGGTGCACAAAGAAGAAATTGGACAAGGTTTTCAGAGTTTAATCATGAGATGCAAATCTTGAGATTGTTCCCTCAAGAACATTGTCGGGCTTTAGCTGAAAGTAGAAGAGGCTGAACATTTGTTATGTTCAGTATACTTGCAACAAGTCATTCCATTGGCATATGCTTGGTAAGCAATTGTGTCATTTTGCTACTGTATGCCACTCTGCTTGTGGGCAGTGTCAACATATATATGCCTCTTAACTGCAACCATAAAATTGGATTCTATTGAGAAACTGTATTTTTCTTTTCTCCAGGTCAAGCAGCAAATAATTTTCAATGGAACCAAGACATGCCATTGCTGTTGGAATTGGAAGAGGTCTGTGTTTCTGCATGCCAAGGCAGCCAGATAATATTTCAAGACATGTGCCCGACCATTGTATGTACTGCTTTAAATTACTTTTCTATGTACTTCCTATTCAGTTTCCATTGATACTAGTGATTTTTGGAAAAGCATGGCTGAGGTTGCTGCTTCTCAATCCCTAAGCCTTGTCTTTTTGGATGCATGAAAATTAGATTTTAGCATTTCGTCACTGGTTTAATGAGCAAATGCATGTCCAAAATTGTCATAAACAAGTTGCTCCCAACTCATGGGCTTGAAATTTGCACAAACACATCATACCTTGTGCTTTAATTAACTGCTAATATTGGGGTTTGTGGAGATTCTAACACACGACCACTTGGTCAAACCAGCTCTGATACCATGTCATAAACCAGTTGGTCCCAATAACTCAAGTTGTTGGGAGAAGGTTATTATGGATCTTATACCATTCTCTTACAAGGAAGGATAACATGTGAGGAAGTTTTAATCATTGGGCTCCAGATGGGAAAGATTCACAGAGTCAGACCTAAATTCTGGTCTCCATTTGATCTGGCAGATACTTGATCATGCTTTGTGTTCTTCTAGTTGGGGAAAATGCATTGGGATGCTGTGATTTCTCATGGTTTGACCAGTGATTATGATGATTTGCCCCCTATCCCAAGTTGAACTCCACATGACTGCTATTCGCTAACAATCTTCATTTTAGTTTGACGGATGGTAACTCAGATTGTGATGAATGTATGCAGATTGTAATAAATATGCTGCAAGTCTGATGTCCTCGTCAAGGGAGTACATCATGAAAGTTGGCTTTCGGAGTTCAGCTTGAGATCTGGAAAATCACTATGCCCTGATGGCTTCTCGGCTCCGCTCCCAGACCCAGAGTGGGCTTTTGTGATGAGATCAAGATATTGATCTTTGCCTCTGAAATGCTTGCTGCCAGGTTGGAATGGTACTCAAGTCGCATTTATTTCGTAGGTCTCTAACTTTTAAGCTCGTTAGTGATTAGAACCAGTCTCTAACTGAAGAATCCATCTGTTTAATAGGGCATCTGAAGGAAAACACTCGTAATGATGTAGGTGATGACAAACTTCCATATAAATGTCCCCAGACTATTCGTCGCCTCAGTTGGCATCATGTGACTATGAGGATCTCGCACACCATCCATGAACATGTACGTGGTTGATGATATCCTACATTCATTAGTCATCACTTATAGTTGCGGAAGCAAAATCCTTAAAGTTTTGGATTATTATAGTTGCGGAAGCAAAATCCTTAAAGTTTTGGATTTTACTCCGGAATATACTAGGAATTAAAAAGAATTCTCAAAATATAGTAGTTTTTATAAAAATTTAGAAAATACATATGTTTTCTATAGATGGTTGTCGACAAAAGCGATCTAGTTGTAAATCGAGTTAGAGCATCTCCATTAGAATTGCAATTAGAATTGCATTATGACATGACATTCATTTGCAATTGCATTGATGTAGATGACAATTGCATCTTTGCAAGCTTGCATATAATGCAATTATGGAATGCAAGACACAGTGGCGGAGGCAGGATTTGAAACTACCCCTGTCCTTTTTTTCGTATTATATATATATATATATATATATTTAATAAATATAATTAAATTAATAAAATCTGAATAATTTATTTTCATATATAAAAATAACGACTAATACAATCGGTATATTCATAAACAACCATGATGAATTTTCATATTCTTAAAAAAACATAAAATATACTCTTAAGTAAGTCCTTTCCAATGGATCCCACTACACAATCATTAGCAAACTGGTTGTGAATTCGATTTAAGAGTTCGTTCTTGATATAGCTCAAAGCTGAAAATATTTTATCTACACTTGCCGTAAAAACTAGTGGAATCTACGCTACCACTGGACTGCTTCAAGATTGCTGGGAAAATAATCAAATAGACATATGAAGAAAAGAGATATATTCCAATTGATATTTGGATTATAGTATAATAAATTAATTTAATGTCAATTTATGATCAAATAATGAATTGTGATATAGTGACAAAATACGTTGTACTAGGTGTCGTGTTCCATCCTTAACAAGCATAAACATATATAGAGTATTTTTTTTTCCTCACAAAATTTACCCTTGTCCCGTGACAAGGCCCAACTGGGGTGGCTCCGCCTATGGCAAGACACATCATCTTTTTTATCATTAAATTATTCATTAATTTTATTATTTGAGTGTTTTTAATAAATCAAATAAAAAAATTAGTTGCAATTGCAAGTTAATTGCTTAATTGCATTGATGTCGCGCAATGCAAGTAAGATAGTTGAATTGCAAAAAATGAAGTAACAATAAAAAAAACAAATACAATTGCAAATGTCATTGCACCAATGGAGATGCTCTTACCCATAGACGATTTGGTAGGGATTGCTTTCATAAAAGGCGATCAAATCGGACTGTTGACCTGTCCAGTGATTGACCATCAAATCGTTGAAGAAACATGTGATCCACACGGATCGCTAACGTGGAAGGTGATTTCCAAGAGGGGAGACGTGAATTGCTGAGGTGGGAAGCGATTAGGGGTGGGATTCGGTCGGTAAACGGTAAATTGTTTACCGAATTTACCGGTTTCAATATACCGAAGTTGGTCAAATTGGTTATCGATTACCGAATTACTGGTAAACGGTTACAACCGGTATTACCGAAATACCGTGAGAAGCGATTTCGGGCGGTTTTTCGGTCGATTTACCGAATATTTACCGAACCGAATTTCTGGAAGTGGGGTGATGTAATATTTTGAGTTTTTTGAGTTTTTTCATCATTTTTGTAATTAATAATTTATTATTAACTCTTATTTACAATATTTTTTAGGCCTATACTTACTTACATTCATGTATGTAATATTATATATTTGTGAATAATGATGTATATGTTATATTTTAGTGGAGTAGGGAGGGGGGATTTCGGTATCGGTATTACCGATTTACCGTCGGTAACCGATACCGTGTCCGGTAAACCGACTCCCCCAACTTCCCGTTCGGCTGCCGATACTGCCGGTAAACAATTTACCGTTTACCGCCGGTTACCGGTTCGGTAAAACGGTAAACCGTTTACCGGATTACCGTTTACCACCCCTAGAAGCGATCAACCGTTGATTGCTTCCGATGGCCACAATCAACGCGCTATCTCTTCTTTGCTCCACCTAGATCGCATTTAACAGAAGCAATCTTGGCTCCCTCCCCCCTCTCTTTCAGCTATAAATACGAACCCCCTCTCTCATACCACTCGAGAAATATGGCTATGCTCTGAGGTAGTGGATAAGTCTGATCTTCCACAACAGATCATGTTTCCTTGAGTCCATAAAAAGCCTTGTGCCATTAAAAACCTTACTGAACCTCTGTGATATATTTTATATTTTTGTAATTTATCATATTTTTGTAATTTATCATTGTGAATCATGGAAGAATGCTATAAGATCAATGTTTTAGTAGAATATCCATGATTAAACGTTATTTTGTATTTGCACTATTTGTTTACAAATCTTTTAATGTTATTTCTTGTATTTAATGATAGATAGGGGCCAATATTTACGATCCTAGACTGTATATCCAACCTGGCCTGAGGGATGCCCAATATTTAACCAAGCGAGAAAATCATCGATCCCATGCGATTTGGAACAACAACCCTGTAGGCACGCCCTACATTCAAAATCCTTATATTTTTAATTATTTGAAAATGTTGCTGTAAAACTTACTTTGTGCATTGATAAATTGGAACATTAACCTTGAGATACCATTGTAAGTGTAATGTGTTTTTGTGTTATTCATGATTTTCCTTACTAATATTATTTAGTCTTCATTATATTATATGGACTTTAAAATCTTACGATTTGACGATTTCGATTTTACCCTCATTTTTTATTTGACGTAAAATCCCAATTTGACTGCTATGCTCACAACCATGTCAGAGAGGTGGCGTCTCGATACACACACGGAGAGGTCATCATCGACAACTCGGTTGTTCCCGAAGGAGGTTGGGGGCCACTGATCTTTGAGCATATGGGTTTTGACATGCTCACGACAGTAGAGGGAGGCGGTAAATCGCCGTTGAATGTGGGTCAAGTATCAATCTCGTGGCCCGTTGCTCGTAAAAAGATGGATGTTGTGTTAAGGAAGTGTTGAAGGGTTCTTGGCAGATTAATGAATGATTTATGCAGTTCTCTATTGATATTTTTTTATAAGAGTGTAGAGTAGTATAGCTTGTATCATGCAGTGGAGTTACATTTTTTTTTTTTGTAGTAGTATAGAGTAGTATAGCTTGTATCATGCAGTGGAGTTACATTTTTTTTTTTTTTGTAGTAGTATAGAGTAGTATAGCTTGTATCATGTAGTGATGTTGTCATTATGGAATGAATCAATCAAATATATAAAAACATATGCAGTTACCAAACAACAAATATTTTATATTTCTTTCAACATTTCGAAACATTGAAATCCTTGAATTATTTAGAATTAAAGGTTGAAACTCCAATTATAAATTTAAAGTATATCATCAACCATCCAAACTAAGGTGTCCTCTACGGTACCCTGGATGGAATTACACCTCTAAAAAATATTTTTCGTGTAGAATTATTCAAATAACTAAATAGTGCTCTAGTTCTATCTTAACATATTTAATGTAAGTACATATAATTATTATCATAATTATATACATCTTACAATTTTATTAAATGTCCCCGAAGGAGCATATACATCTTACAATTTAATGTGTGTTTATGCTATAAGTGATTTATAGGAAAAACATAGTTGTTTTATATCATTAGAAGGTGTGGTTGATTCTACTCAGTCTCTCTCTGAAGCTCAAATAAGGTTTCAGATGGTCTGAATATAATGGAGGAGCAAGGTTGGAGGCAGGAGGGGCTATATCCCCCTTCCCCTGCCCTTAATACTGAAATATAAGTAAAATTAGATATATAATTTGCAACAAATTTAGGTAATAGAATAGTCGGTAAGACTTTAACCCCCTCCTCCAATTGTAACGGTTCAAGTCAACCCCCTCATTCAGATTCATGTCTCCGAACATCTAATGGTAACTATTAAATTGTTTATGATCTATAACCATTTCGCATTGTTCATCTTACAAAATTATTGCTTTATATTTTACATTTTCATAAATTACTCCACACAAATAAGATGAAGAGAATCGATCAATCATTGACAAGATCAACAAGAAGGAAATATGCTCTTTACATAAGAAAAAAATATATGTGGAAATTATCAACATTCCTAATGACAACCCATTTATTTCATGTTTGTTTTCAATCTATATATTATAGGGCTTCAAAATGAGATGCATAACTTGCATATTAAGGGAGATGGATTGTTCAGGTCATGCGTTCTAGAGACTTTACTAGGTTTCTAGATCTTTGAATTTTTTTAGTTTTCTTGTTTAATGTTTATGAAATTATTTCTCATATTTTAGTTATTAATTTATTGTAGCGGTTAAAGTGTTGATATTGGACATCCATCATATAAATGTGAATATTGTGTACTACCAGTGATGTGAAAGGATAAAAGTAGGAAACCCACAAGAAATTCAAATTACACAAAGTTCCATTATGTTGTAGATCAAGCAAAGTGAATCTCCTTCATCGAAAGCATCATCGGAGGTTTAAAATATCATATTGCGAGCAAATACTTCAATGATGGGTCACTTTTTGGAACACATACATGGCGATAATGGGCTATTCTCATTAACTTCTATTGGATGCAAACTTGACCTATTTATAAATTATGTACGTGGAGTATATGTTTACCCTATTGAAGGTCAAGTATAAAATCAATTGATAGCCTGATACCTACTGAAAGGAACATTACCAAAGTTTTTTCAAGTCTACATCAATGACGCTAACAATGAAGTCTAAAAACTATAACATTTTTCTCTAGAGATTCATTTTGGAATCCTTTGCACAATACGATTATTTAGCAATTGCTCGTATAATACCATGATTGTTAATGTGTACACTTTGGTTGGGCTTGAGTATTAAGATTGGATTAAAAGCAAGCAAACAAAGCACCGACAACATTTCTACAAAGGTCTTTTGAATTCTTAATTCAAAGGTGATTCGAACCAGGTTGAGTGGAATGTAGTTCTCGAAACAAGTATGAAAGCATTGAGGTATGATCCTTTTGTATGGGCAGTATATCTTGATCTTTCTATTACACTTTTCATGTAAACGTGAGTGGCCCGATATTCAATACATGGTTGATTGGATAAGGACTACTTTTAGAAAAGATCCTAACGGAGTTGATAAGGACTACTTTTAAGCTGAAGCTAAATCAATTGTTGAATGAGAATTGTTTTGAGAAGACATGCTCTAGTTATATTCTATAGGTTTACTTTAATCATTCTTTAGTCATGAGTTGCTTGGTAATTATTTTTCCATTTAGATGGCTATTAATAATTTCTTTCCCTTCAAAAGTGTTTGCAAATGAATTAAACAAAGTGATCTACTTCATACTCATTTATTGGTATTTCTATATATGGAAGATAAATTCTCTAGTCCTTCAAAAATGGATTTAATTATATTTGATCAAACTTTAGATCTAAGTATATCTTGAATTTTATGAAGCAATTACAAATTTTATGCTTCATGGTCTATATAGCATTGGAAGACATAAAGCTCCATGTGCATCTAATAGGGTATGTTTCAAATGTGTTTCTAGGGAGATCCGCGAGCAAACAACTACTTAAGCCAATAATTTTTTAAGGTATCAGCGTATCAATCATGGTGAGAATGGTCTCACTTGATAACCGGGTCATTGTTCCTTATAACATGTACATATTGTTAAGATGCTCATATAATACTGTTGATATATAGAAAAAGAAAGCACATTGCAGAAAATATTCATAAATTGTATGAGGTAAACTCTCCTTTAGCGAAAATGGTGCTTTATATTTGATAATATTTTACAATCATTATTTTTTAATTAGATCAAATGCAAGAGAAGAAAGAAGAGGTCATTGTAATACAATAGAATAAGGAAGAGACAACTAATAATTGATATGGAGGTGCCAGTGTAACTAATGTAGATGAATGCGTTGTTATTGATGGAGATTATGATCTGCTCATGGCAGAGGAAACCAAATAAACCAAGATAAAATGTAGTAAATTCTAACAAAATGGAGTAAATAGAAGTGACATTTGAACAAATTGACGCCTTGGTTCGAAGTCTGCCTTTTATGTTAAGGATTTTAGCTAATGAACTGGTTAGGATGTTAGAAAATACAATAATGTTAAACTTTTGAATGTTACCAATTCTTCGATAATTTGGATTCTCTTATGCTACCAAATAAAAATTTATTTTCTTTGAATTTTGCTACTCATTATTTTGCAATATGCAAAATGAATCCGACTAACTAGCTAGGTCCATATTGCATCGAACAAATTACTTATTTCTTTAATTACAAATTTGTCCTACTTTAATTCAATGGTCATGCAACGGTAAACTTTTATAATTTCGTATTTTATAAATATGAGAATTTATCATTTCATTTTGTAATATCGTATTTTATTTAAATATGAATGTATATGTGATTTGTTAGATTCACCTAGAAATACTTTATGCTCATCTTGTACATTATTACTTGATTGATTGTCGGATTCCGTATCGGTGAGTTAGCAAGAAGATGATGAGTTGTAGCAATAAAGCGAGCAATTGGCTGCAATTGATACATATTATTGCGTACATTATTAGATGAATTGTTTTTTTATGAAGGATTATTAGATGAATTGTTAATTAGTGCCAAATTGTAATACATTTCTATATTTGTAGTTGAATTATTAATCCACATAGTGGTAAAGAGTTTAAAATTTCTTTCTTTGTTTTGGATTAGTTTTAAATGAAGGATTTGGATTATAATATAGAAATATAATTAAATAAGGGTAACTAGGTAATTTGTATTTAATATCCACAAATCTAATCAAACAAAGTCCATAATCAAATCCATCAAGCAAACAATAAACTTGTTCAAATCCATAATGCCACCAAATCCATCATATATCCATGGTTTTCCAAAACCCAGGTTTTACCAAAACCCTCATTTTTCAAATCCATGAAGCAAACGACCCGCTAGTGATTATACTGAAGAGAATAAACAACAGAAAAAAGGAAAGAAAGAGTCCAACGTTGGGGATGGATATTGGGCGCGGCCTCGATTTTCAACAAACGGAACTTTCGGGATTGCACTTAGGGCCTCATAAAGTGTCAATACATCGAAGAAAAATGAATGATTAAAACTAAAATAGAATTTTGTGTTTCTTATTAGTAAAAACTAAAAATTAAGTCTTTTTTTTTTTTTTTTTTTTTTTGATGGAAACCTGCTGCTCTTTTATTAACCAGTGTAACCAGGTACAAGGTCCAGTGTTAACTGGTTAACCAAAAAAGGAGGCGGCCTATCGAACCAAACAAACTGCTCATTCCATCGTATCTCTGCATGTGCCATGCAATGAGCTGCAGCATTGCCATCTCGCCGGGCGTGTTGCCAGGAACTCCTACCCAAATCCTCAAGAGTACAACGAATGCTTCTGCACCTGACCCCCATCTCCGACTCGATCCGTTCCGCATCATGTAACTTAGTAGCAAGACTCAAGCTGTCCGTCTCCAAAATGGGATTCATAAGGTGATGTTGCTTCGCCAGCTGCACTCCAAACTCTGCTGCAACGGTTTCCGCCTCTTCCACGGACCAGCGACCAGGGACTCTTTTTGAGGCGGCCATGATGAACTGGCCGTATGGACCTCGTGCCACCATTCCCAGACCGATTCCTTCGTCGAGGAACATTGCTGCGTCCGTGTTAATTTTGATCCGTCCCGCGCCCGGTAGTTGCCATCCCGATTGCCCTTCCTCATCCGACATAGCCAGCCCTCGCTTATGATGGGAGCGATAGTCGTCGAGAAAAGCCTTTGCCCTGGGAATAATGTCGCGCTCATCCAGCTTCGGGCCATTGAAGAGCTGTGCGTTTCTTTCTCGCCATAGGAACCAGAGTACTACACACCACATTTCGCATTGCTCCACATTTTCGGTATCAAAGACATCCCTCACCCATTGAAAGCAGTCATCTGAGGCTCGGCAGTCGAAACACCTCATAAAACCAGATTGTCTCCACAGCCGGGAGCTCCAGTCGCATTCAGCGAACACATGGACCTGCGTCTCCGTCAATCCACAAAACGGGCAAGCTTCACTCCATTTGTTGCTCTTTGTACTGATTTTGTTACCAGTTGGAAGAATGCCCCTCATAAACCTCCACATGAAATGCTTTACTTTAGGAGGGACCTTCATTGCCCACATTTTCTTCCACGTCGCCACTTCTCCAACCGGGTCAACATGATGGTGCGCCAAACACTGCTGTAGCCACCTCTTATATCCATCCTTGACTGTGTATTCCCCGGACTCACTGTCTGCCCAGATCTGCTTGTCCCTTTCTTCACTGCCCCTTAGTGGGATTTGGAGTACTCGCTGGCCAATGTCTACTGGCATGCATTCGGTAATCCTATTCCAATCCCACTGGTTGGTATAAGGGTCAATGAGCTGACGAACATAAGCATCCACCGGGAGTCCTCGCGGAGCCGAGGAAACGAAGTCGGGCTGTCCTCCGGGCAGCCACCTATCCCCCCATATTCTCACATTCTCCCCGTCCCCGATCCTCCAGCGTAGCCCGCCGCATAGAAATTCCTGCGAGCTCAGCAAACTCCGCCAAATGAAGCTCGGGCGTGGGCCTAAGTGTGCCTCCAAAATCGTGGAGTGCTTGTGATATTTGGCTCTCAATATTCGGGCAATCAAGGAGGTTGGGCGCTTATGAATCCCCCAAAGCTGCTTGGCCAACATTGCTGTATTAAAGCCTTCAAGGTCCCTGAATCCTAGTCCACCTTCCTCCTTCGGTAGCAGCATCCCTTCCCTCTTCAGCCAATGAACCCGGCGCTCGGATCCCTTCTGCCCCCAATAGAAGTTCGTAATGAGGCTATGAACTTCGTTGATGATGGAGACTGGGACGCGAAAGACGGACATGGCGTAGGTAAGTTGCGCTTGAGCCACTGATTTTATAAGGGTCTCTCTCCCTGCCACCGATAACGTCTTTTCTTTCCATCCTTTTAACTTCTTCCGTATCCTCTCCACCAAACCAGAGAAAATCTCCTTCTTCGATCGGCCTACAACAGTCGGTAGTCCCAAATACTTCTCATGCTTATCAACCAGCTTCATTTGGAGAGTGCCACAAACCATTAACCGCTGATGGGTGGTGACTTTCTCACTAAAAGAGACCGCCGACTTCTGAAAATTCACAAGCTGCCCAGACTCCTTCTCATAAAGCTGCAGTATTCGTTTGAGGGTGCCACTCTCCTGTTCAGTAGCTCTTCCATAAAACACACAATCGTCCGCAAAAAAGAGATGTGAGATTGTCGGAGCCCCCCTAGCAGTTTGAATGCCGTGTAGCCGTTTATCCCTGACAGCTTCCTTCGTGATTGCTGAAAGCCCCTCTGCGCAGAACAGGAAGAGGTAGGGGGACAGCGGATCCCCCTGCCGCAAGCCTCGACTTGGCAGAAATGTCTCCGATTGATGGCCGTTCACCAGGACAGAGTAAGATACTGTGCTGACGCACTTCATGATCAAAGAGATCCAGCGCCTGTCAAACCCCATTCGGTCCATTACTCCCTCCAAAAAATGCCACTCCACCCTGTCATAAGCTTTTGCCATATCTATTTTCGCTGCGAACATTCCCGGACCCGCTTTTGACTTGATCTTCATCGTATGGAAGCATTCGAAGGCCGCCATTATATTATCAGTGATAAACCTTCCCGGAACAAAGGCACTCTGCTCCTGCGAAATCACAAGATCCAAAACAGCTTTCAGTCTGTTAGCGAGTACTTTGGCCACTAGTTTATACAAAACATTGCATAAACTAATGGGACGAAAGTCCTGTGGGGAGGTCGGTTCTTTAATCTTAGGAATCAAGGCAATGAGGGTGTGGTTTAGAGAAGGCGGCATCGGACCCCCCTCAAGAATATTCAGCACTGCATTCGTCACGTCTCCGCCCACAGCTGGCCAATGTTTCTTGAAGAAGAGCACGGAAAAGCCGTCCGCCCCTGGAGCTTTCCTCGAGCCCATCTGCTTCAGTGCCCGCTCCACTTCTTCTTTGTCAAAAGGTCTCATCAGCTCCGCATTCTGTTCGCCAGTGATTGATCTCTTAATGGCGTTAAGAACAGGAGTCTCGGCTGGTCGGGGAGACGCTGTGAACAAGCTACAAAAATAGTTAGTCAAACAGCCAAAAACACCCTCTTGAGTCGTGTGCCACAGCCCCGAGTTGTCCCGGAGCTTGCGAATTATATTCCTCTTCCGCCGTGCCGAAGCCTTCTTGTGAAAAAACGCCGTATTATTATCGCCGCCTCGTAACCAGTCCGCCCTCGAACGTTGGCTCCAGTATAGCTCTTCGTTCGCCTCGAGCTCTGCGAGCTCTTGCTCGAGTTGTCTCCGCTGAGCCTCACCCGTCTGCGTTCGCGGTTGTCTATCAATCGCCGCCAACGCCTTCCTTATCCTCGAACGGTGTTTGCCAAACCGTGGAAAAGTTTTGCTACTCCATGACTCGAGCTTAGACCTGCAAGACAGAAGTTTTGTTAGTGTATCAGCTCCTGCAGCCTCGCTCCATGCCTCCTCCACCACCTTTGAGCAGCCTGTATGATTTGCCCAGTGGGGTTCATACTTAAATGACCAGCCCCATTTGGGTTCAGCATCCGCCTCCCCCCTCGTATCGCAGACTAACGGCCGATGATCCGACCGGTCACGATCCAAATGGAGTACCCGTGAGGAAGGGAAGAGCTGACTCCATTCGTCGGACGCGGTGAATCGATCCAACCGTTCCTCGATTAATGCTTGACCAGCTCTTCTATTCTCCCAGGTGAAGGGGTGTCCCAGAAATCCAAGATCCGACAGCCCCACTTCGGTCAGGCATTCATCAAACTCGATCATTTGAGCATCCACAATTCCACGGCCACCTCTCTTCTCCTCTAGGCAGCGAATTTGATTAAGATCCCCACCGCATAACCAAGGGCCACTCCATTGAGCCGCCAGCCTTCGTATCAACTCCCAAGTGTTCCACTTGTCACTGTCCTCCGGCCACCCATAGATTCCGGAGAAACGCCACTGGCCTCCTTCATCCTCGACAACTTTGACATCCACGTGGTGAAGGGACATGGACATAACCTGGATATTTATTCCTTCCCTCCACCAAAGGCTCAAACCACCAGCACGACCACCTCTCGACCGATCCGTCGACCAGCTCTCCCCCTCCTCAAAACCAAGTTCCAGTCGTGTATCCTTGTTTTCCTCCACAGTTTGTTTCGTTTCCATCAGCAAAACGACTTGCGGGGAGTAGAATCGCAGAAGCGATTTCAGGGCTCTAACTGCGCGCTTGCTCCCCAACCCGCGGCAGTTGTAGCTTAGAATTCTCATTTATTACGAGAAGGGGATCGGTTCCCCGCACCATCAGCTTGAGAAAGTTTTGATTGAGCTTCTACACTCCGGTTGCCATCTCCTGCCGTTTTTGAGCTGGGTATGTTTTTGCTACCGGTAGTCCCCTCCTTTGCATGGGGTGCATGGCTGGACGTAACCGCCGCGAGATCACTTTTGTTTCCATTGCTTGGGCTGCCATCCTTATTCCCTCTTTTTTCCTTCGCAGAACCCTCTTTCACTATGGGAGAGTTCAACGGAGGGCTAGTAGTGGTCCCCTTCCCGCCTGAACTCGGTGTGCCTCCTTTACTTGTTGCCTTCGTCGGTCCACTCGTCTCCTTCTCTTTCATCTTTGCGCTATCAGTTCTCTTGCCCCCACGCTCTTCCCTTCCTCTCGTCTTCGTACTATCATGTTCCTGACCCATACTCTCCTCCTTCCTCGTACTTTTCTCCCTTACCCGAATCGGCTCGACTTCCTCCTCCTGCAAGGCCGCAAAACGATTTATTTGATCAGCCTCATAGTTGATAGGGCCAGCCCTCTTCGTATTTCCTGATCTTTTAGCAGCCCATGACGACTTCTTCTTCACTGACATCCACTCCCCATAGATCTTACCCTCTGTTTGAGATGCTATCGGCTCTTCTCGATCTTCCTCCACATGTTCAACCGACTGCTCCTCCCCCATGTGCTTGCAGCTACATGTACTCTGCAACTGGCCAAACATACCGCACTCCCCACAGATGTTATCCAATCCTTCATATTGGATAATATATGTTATTCCTTCCACTTTATACTTGGATAGGAGTGGTTTCGTTAAATCCACTTCAACGCTAACTCGGGCATAATTCCCCCGAGCCCCCATCTCCGTGGCTCGGTCCACCCTAACCGGTTTCCCAATAAGCTCCGCAATCATGGTGACTGCTTCCACATTAAAGAACTCAATGGGAAGGTCTGGAAGCTGAACCCAGACTATTGCAGTCGTCACTTTCGCCTTCCACGGATTAAAACCTTTGAACCAGCGGTGAACAGTGAGGTAAGTGTCCCCAACTTGCCAGGGTCCGCTCTCGGATGCTAGTTCAAAGTCTTTCTGGCTGCGAAACCGCACAAGATAACACCCATTCTTCATGTCCGAGATCTGAATGTCACCATGGCGGGCCCACAGAAAGTTCAGCCTCTTGGCCAATGGTAGATACGCAACCTTCTTCCCGAGTCCCTGGACTATCAGCGATGATCGCCATTCCCTTCTCCATTTAATTTTCTGGGCTGCTGTAAATAGGACCGATGGACATCGCGGATCAAAGTTCTCCTCCTCAATTTCCTCATCCTCCTCCCTCTCTCTCTGGAACACGTCCTCCGAGTCGGATTCGGCTACATACCATCCATCGTCTCTAGCAACTTCTCGAAAGAGCCTCTGAGTACCTTCTCGCCATGCCCCCGTTGGTTCACCCGACTTCGGCTTAGCAGAGTCACTATTGATTTGATCTTCAGCATCCATCTCTTCCATGTTCTCCTCATTAGGTTTCGGGATATCCTGGGGGAGCTCCATCGCTCGGACCTTCTTCTTGGGCTGTGTCGTCTCTTTCGCGCTCTTGCCGTCAGGCGAGGAGGAGCTCAGCGCCGCCCGCCTTGCCCCACTGATGTCAGGGGGTTTCTTCGTCGGCGGGGAGGATCCAGTCGGCGGAGGCGCCGCCATCGTGACGCGGGGCACTTTTCCTTAGGGTTTACGCTAGCAGAGGTTTTCCGGAAAACACGGAGCTCCCACTCTACATCTCTAATTAAGTCTAGTCTAGTGACAACTGTTAAAAGACTAATTAGGCTCTGTAGTATATTATTCATCACTAACCTTTTTCTCCTTGCTTATTAAGAAGTGAAAACGAATTATTATGCCAAATATTAAACCTGACGCACCTCTCAGGTCTAGCTTTCTATATTTTCAATTGCAAGGGAGATGTAGGGAAAGATGCTGCAATTAATTATGTATTTGGACTGGTTTTGTTGAAATTCTGTGTTGTTTTATTTATTTATCCCAATTTCCTATATTTGGCTCTTGGTACACTGGAAGTAATCAAATTCATACATGCTTGATGTTCACACTATTTGATAATTTTCAACTAATCAAATAATTTGGTTTTTGACACATTGGACGTAATTCAAAGTAGAGTAATAAACTGTTAAAAAAAAAAAAAAAGACATTTTATTACAGAGATGGAATGCCCAATGCGAAAGGGACACCTGGAGCCATTCTCACTCCTCCGTACGTTTCTACCTTTCTTGTGTTTTGGTCCTCGATCATAAACTTCCAAGTCACAACTTACAACACAAACTCTGACACACAATTACAGTACAGTCCCTTTTGGCTTTCTCTTCTCTTCTCTCTATAACCTTCTCCTTTCTTCTTCCCTCGCTTTCTTTCACCAGGGGCTCATCACCTCTTCAGAGTTCAGCCTCCGCACCGCACGCAATCAACAACACAGGTTCCTCCTTTTTTTCATCTCCCTTCCAACCTTCCTCCTCCTCTCACTGATCTAATCACCATGCGCCGCTTCCAATGCTTCACCACTTCGACTTCTTTCTTCCTGTCTTGATCATTCTCACAAAAAGTTTCTGCTTTCGATGATGGGTGGTTTCATTCTTCGTTTACCCTCTTTTGCTGAAATGGGTTGTGCTCTATTTGGTCGACTTCCTTCACGATTGGGAAATATGCCCATCTCTGTTTTCCCTTACATGTATATTTTTTGTCCTCTGCCGTTTAAGTCTCTTTTGTTTGTGCTTGTGTGATCAACAAGAGAAATCTCATCTTTGATTGTGACTCGGATTGTCTAGTGTGTTGTCTATTCTTAGTGAGTTTCTTCTGAAATTGTCTCTGTCTATCTCTGCTACTGACAGAAACGAGGATTGCTTCTGTTCTACTGTTTGGGGTCTGTTTTAAGCTATGGTGAGAAGTGAAGAATTGAACCAGTGTTTCGAGAAGCTGATGATGACAGGAGGTGGAACCGACAGTGCAATCAACATCAGTAAGAAGATGGGAAGAGCGGCCATCACTGAGTGGAAGGATATTCCAATGGAGCTTCTCTTGAGGATTGTGTCTCTTGTTGATGATCATCGCACCATCATAATGGCCTCCCAAGTTTGTATTGGCTGGAGGGAAGCTATTTCCTTGGGCCTTACTCATTTATGCCTCTCTTGGTAAATGAATTCCTCTCCTGCCTTTTGATTGCTTGATTGAAAAAATTCTCTCCAATTCGTATTGGTAAGTTACTTAGGTTGACATTTTTTTATATTTCAATTGCAGGTGCAAGAACAATATGAGCAACCTGGTTATATCTCTTGCGCCCAAGTTGCAGAATCTGCAGAGTTTGGTGCTACGCCAAGATAAGCCGCAACTGGAAGACATCGCGGTAGAGACAATCGCTAGACACTGCCATGACTTGCAAGACTTGGACCTTAGCAAGAGCTTTAAGCTAACTGATCGCTCTCTGTATGCCCTGGCTCATGGTTGCCCCAACCTGGTCAAACTCAATATCAGTGGTTGTACATCGTTTAGCGATCATGGTATTGAGTATCTCACTGGATTCTGCCGTAAGCTGAAGATTCTGAATCTTTGTGGCTGTGTTGGAGCAGCAACTGATCTTGCCTTGCAGGTTTCTTCAACGGATATTCCTTGTTTCTGTACTCATTTTTATCATGAGCTTCTTCTTTGAGAATACTAATGGAACCCCTTGCAGGCTATTGGACGCAATTGTAATCAACTGCAATCGTTGAATCTCGGGTGGTGCGAGAACGTGGGGGACGTTGGGGTGATGAGTTTAGCATATGGATGTCCTGATCTTCGAACGCTGGACTTGTGCGGCTGTGTGTGTATAACAGGTATAATACATCAGATACCAGTAATGCTTCCTTGTTTTCTTATCATTCATTTTGGACTCCAATTACCTCAATAGAAGAAGCTTAATGTGACTTTCATTTCCTGTTGCATCTGTTGAGTTCTTCTACTGACTAGACCTCCTTACTTTATTCTAGACGACAGTGTGATTGCACTGGCGAACAGGTGTCCGCACCTCACATCCCTTGGCCTGTACTACTGCCAAAACATCACCGATCGAGCAATGTACTCTCTGGTTCATAGCCAGGGGAAGAAGAAGAAGCCGTCCACATCTATGTGGGAGAGCATAAAAGCCAGGAAAGGGGAAGAAGGGTTGAAGAGCCTGAACATCAGTCAATGCACGGCGCTGACACCTTCTGCTGTTCAAGCACTCTGTGACTGCTTCCCTGCGCTTCATACTTGCTCCGGAAGGCATTCTCTCGTCATGAGTGGTTGTTTGAACTTGACTTCAGTGCATTGTGCTTGCGCTGTGCAGGCACACCGCAGTCTGCCCTATGTCCCTCATCACCATGCTCATTGAAGCTCAAAAAAGTTCAAGGAAGTGTGCCTTTGCAGCACATGGAGAGCCAAGCCTATGTTTAAGTTTATGCATTGCTTGTGGTACAAGCCAAGTCTGTGTAGCTGCAGATGGACAAAGGTTTGTTGTTGTATAACACTGATGTTAAGAATGTGACGGGCTTTTGCTATCGACTATTCGACTCTGGTTTTTAAAGAACCATGTATTTCTGAATGCCGATGCTTTACAGGAGTCATAAGTTCATGCTCTGTACTACATTCGCGAAACTCAGGAAGAAACGTACACTCGCATCGACATATGACAATTTGAAATGAGTGCTTGATTCGGTAGATTCGTAAATGGACATTATTGATCTCAATTGTATCTATCGTGTGATGCATTTTTAAAAGTGTGATGTTGAACTCACTTTCTTGGCAGTGAATTTACAAAATTAACCAATGCGTGTGAAATTTCTCTAACTTCCAATAAATACGCTTAATATGCATCTTATAAAATGATCTACTTATTTGATGGCATACTACTGCAAAGATGTCAGTCGAGAAGCACACTCAACCAGAACACTTGGAATCGTATGTCTTTCAGCACCTGATCAGCCAGCTGGGTTGCTAATGGATAGAATGAACAAACGACTTGCAGTTTTGTATTTCTAGCCTCTGGTTTCAATTACAGAAGTTGATGAAGTGTTCCAGGAAAACAAAAAGAGAGCAACTTTATGTAGTTTAATAACAGAACTTTTGTGGGGTAACTGGGAGAATAAGAATTTGAAGAGTTTCATCATCATGTACACAGCTCACTGTAAATGTGTAATGTCAGCATCTGCTTCTGTAGACAATCTCGTCATCATCATGCACGTCAAAAGCTGGATTACAGAGGCATCTGAAAATCCTGCCAATTCCCTGTACATTACAAAAATGTAGCATAATTGAGCAATGGTAATGTTTTCATCAGCATTGGCAGGCCTATCTGAAGCCTAATTTGCCACTGATTTATGAAGGAAGAGACATGCCTGAGTGAGAAGAGGAGTTTTGTATGATAGTGATCTGGGGCCCTCGTCTTCGTCACTGCTGCTATCGGAACTGCTTTCTTCATCATCTCCAGTTTCATTACTGCTTTTTCCCCTCGAGACTCCATCAACTCTCGCTTGTTTTCTATCCTGTGAGATATAATATATATCTTTGTTGTCTTATAACCGAGTCCAGGGGACAAACAACTGAGGGAAAAGGTAGGATCTTTATGTTTGTGTCACACCTGAAAAACCTTGCCAAGGGTTCTTAGAGCCGAGGCTCGAGTTTTGAGTTCTTCTCTACTCACATTGTTCTCCTTCAAAACCATCTGGCAGACATGGATGAGGGTGACCTCAATGTCTACTACGTTCAGTTTCCACATGGAGCTCATCAGAATTTCTCTGGCCAATCTCGGATGTGATACCACACCATTTTCTACTGCAGTCCCATTGTATTTGTTCTGTTTGCGGAGGTCGTCTTGAAGTTGGATTAGCTGAAATGCACCTGCAGGGGTTAACTGTTAGTTTTTATCAATCTGGACTACGAAAAAAGGAAATCCCTTCAAGCGAAGCTCCATTACGAGGGAGTTTCAACCTTTTGCTGCTGTGACCTGTGACTTCCAGAAATGGCCTTTGTTCCTTGCCCATTCTGCCATGAATGGGACTCCAAGGTAGAGGGCTTTCTTCCCGAGCTCTTGTGCTGCTTGCCTTGAGTATATGTACCCAATTGTATGCAAGATATTGGCACCAAAATCTGCAAATTGTTTCCAGCATATCGTCAGTTCCTTTACTGATCGCTTGTGACACAAATCCATGTAATTTATTGAAGGGAAGAGAACCTGAATCAGAAAGGCGCTTAGCTTCAGATTCAGCACGTCTAATGAACCCAGCTTTGTCTCCTCTAACATATTGATCTAGAAAGTCCCTGAGAAATCTAGCCAGCTTTTCCTCTCTTTCCTTCTGGACACCCTTTATTGAGTTCATTCAAGGAGGGGAAACAGTTTATGATCACATACTAACCACCAATTATTCAGCTGCTGAAACTAGAATGGGAGAGCAATCATTGAAATGGTAGTACCTTCAAATTTTCAT